CACTGTACCTGTTGTTTGTTTTGCGAGTAATCCAAAATCGCACATTACTCGCCTCATCAATTGGTGCTGTGTTGCACAAGAACACAGTGACTACAAGTGGTTAAGAATTCATAGTCATGTTTTATAATGTTACAATTTTCTGACATCTGACATGCGAATTCACACCGATCAAACACTGCTTAACTAAACATGAACTATGTCTCCCATTTACAAACACTAAGAAGACAACTTAGCATACGGTTGACTTCGTTACAGTAATCCATATAACCTACTGAATGTTACTTTCCACACCTTGATGACTACTCAATGACTATGTCAACATTGATTATTACATCATGTTTTCTCATAGTTGCATGTACAAAACAGAAGTTAAAATGAATACACATACATGTACATATCAATCATAATCAGCTTTGATAAACTTCCTCTCATTCACTGCTGTAGTACTTTTTGCAAATAATAATGACTTCCATGAACAATTATTATTTGCAACCAAAGGTGATTGATCGTTTCCATCTATCATATTGTCTATAAGCAGTCAAATACTGAAAACGAAACTTACATTTATACTTATTAATGACAAACCAACCAGAAATATTCACTTTATGTCCAACATTGTGACTAAGTTGTTGATATTTATCATTAAAAAGTCTCTAAACTAATCAATACCTCCCATATAACTCTCTACCCAATATTATGCAGCTTCATATTAGCCATCCTCGTAACACAGCATAAACATGAAAGCATGCAGTTTTTGTGCAACACTACATGTTTTGGTGAAAATTCGAACATACGGTCGGATCCAGCAATGAATACCGTTAAGTATAGACAGACGATATTATAACCGATTACGATTCCCCGAGTTTCATAATTTGCGAAAGGAAGAAGTAGATATTTTGAACAAATGATAGTTTCAAACATCCCTCTTGTATCTAACTCATGAATTATTCTATCTAATCACATTCAACTTTATAATACTCTAAGTATTCTGAATATCTTGTCCAATAAAGCAAACAGTCTAAAATATCAGACGGAGTTGCACAGAAATACGGCTTTTCGTTAATAAGAATTTATCCTTTTGATTCCCACTGGATTTCGATAAAACTTTGTCCTCTATTTTCTCTCCGGAAAATAGTTTATCAGACAACACCTTAAATCATGATAGACCGTCCGTTTTGGCACCCAAAGTTATGCCACTGAACACATCCACCCAGATTTTAAAGCCTCATTCAATGTTCGTTTTCCAAACCTAAATAATAGATTGATCACTCAGTAACATCTAAAGTCATGTTGGTCTAATCTTTAATATTCATTGAATTCTATTGATAAAGTTTCAACGTATCCATTAATTTAAATAACAAAGCACTATGTTCACTATATTTGATATAAGGTGGTGGGAAGCAGACTCCAGTGAGGAGAAACTGATTTAATCCAGCCCTGAACATCAACAACAGAAAACTGCAAACAACTGCAAATTACGTCATAATCACTCAACGATTCAGGGGCTTTCTGAACTAAGTAGTTCAGTAGACAACGCATTTTCGCCTGATACAAGAGTTACTGATATTTGTCATCTGTGTGAGCATCAATATGGAAAAACGGCACATCTAGTTATCAAGTGTAAAATAGAATGAAAAGTTCGTTTCGTATTCCTCTGCTCTCAGAATGTCTTAATTTCAGTCAGTATGAAGAAATCGGACTTATTCCGGTCTCCCACATTGTACGAGCATTCCATGTACCTAAATAAGCGGTTGCTCTGGTTGTCAGAAGAAGTATCAGGCTCGTGACTTCCGAAGGAGCTCGTCTTTCACCATGAAGCATCATAACTCTTCTGAATGAAGACCTTCTGACTCCCAGGGCAAATTTTAAATGGTTTGAACAATTTTTTCTGGCCAGCGTATTTTTAGCGAGTTAGTTTTCTACGGGATGGGGTCGCTAACCACATGCCAACCCTCCTTCTTTGTTCTGGCTTGGGACCGGCAGTAGCCCCCTGTGGGGCTCCATCGAAAGACGCTAAAGTTTTGAAACATGTATTCATGTGCTCAAATAATTGTTGATGGCTGTCTACATATTAGAACTTCACCTCAATTACTTTACATACTATTTAAATTTGTATCGAAACTTATTGATTACTAACATTTTAAAGCAACCTGGTTTAATTACTAAAAAACGGCAGCATACGTTGATCCAAAAATGTTGTTGTGCGATTTATGCCTTCTGGCACGTAGTAGTATGTAATCTTTTAGGTTGTTAGGTAAATTTATCTCTAAACTTACTCGAATGATGTGCAGATAAATAACGTGATCACGTGATACACAACCAGAATTATAATATTTTTATTTACTCAGTGCACAGATGCTGTAAAACTCCATAGTAAAAAGGTATTTTAAAGGTCATAATTAAAAGTGCGTGAAATATCTAACTCCGTAATTTAGCTATAACTGTTGGTAAACTCAGTATAACCTAATAATTTTCAAAATTGTGAACATACATTTATTGATTGATTAGTTTATACCAACTGCCAATTACTCTATATTTTAATGTATTCAGATATAACTGCTGACAATTCAAATTAATGATATAGAAATCATTGTAATATTCGATATAGTAGTTGGTCAGTGGATGTTTAGTTGTGAATCTACTTTTCTGAGATTAACGAAATCTCCATCTACAATCTTTCCTTCATCCTTATACTGGTTCATACTAGTCTCATTCTGTTATAACTGGTAACAAGTAACAATTTTTTCGTATTCATAATAAGTTGTTGTACCAGCTTTGTATCTCAATACAAGAGTTATATATGATTGTATAAGTCGATTACATTTTGTAATCACTGCTTACTAACAGAACACACAGTATTGATTAAATATTAGTAAAATCAAGCTTTGGTTATTCATTACTTTCTGTGTTATAATTTAATTTCATATTGATATCCTGTTACTGGTCACACAAGCTTAATAACCATTACACTGGTGTTCATAGGCTTGTCAAATTCTTATCAATGCATTCAATTTATCAGTATGTGAACCATGTAATCATTTCAATTTTTAAATCTATGTAAATCCAAGAATAGATAGCCTTATAGTAAAACCAAATTAATTCAAGCACAATAAAGAAGGTGAATAGAATAAATGTTAATTGCATGATACATAAGAGCAGTGTAATCAGTCATTTTATTTACTTACTTCTACTTTAGAAACTTGCTGTCTCATAGCCTAGTTATCATTGCTCATTTAACAGCATAAATCTTAGTATCTAATAATTAAAAACTCATTTGATACTTGCATTATGAATAAAGTTAAACTAAATTTCCAAAATGATAAACTGAAGAGGCTCATGGTGTGACTGTTGAAAATCTAGCGAGAAGCCATTAACAGTTGAGTTAAATCCGTATCAGGCATGGAACAATTATACATCTTGGGCAATGGGTGAAGGCTACACAATATCATGCATTGATAGAAGTTAAACATTAACATCGTTTGATGACGACTCAATTGTCTAGATTAGAAGCATTCGCGCGTGAGACTGAAGGTCCTTTGTTCAATCACTCGATCCATAGTTACTTACTTACTTACACCTGATACTCCCAATGGAGCATGAGCCACAGACCAGTATTCTCCAAACTAATCTGTCCTGGGCCTTCTTTTCTAGTTCCATCCAATTTTTGTTCATTTTTTTTATGTCTGTCTCCATTTCTCGGTGTAATGTGTTCTTTCATCTTTCACTTCTGCTTTGACCTTGAGGATTCCATGTGAGGACTTGCCTCGTGAAGCATTTGAGTGCTTTCCTAAATGTGTGTCCTATCCACTTCCAGCGCTTCTTCCTGATTTCTTCCCCTGCTGAGATCCGGTTTGTTTTCTCCCATAGTAGGTTGTTTCTGATAGTGTCTGGCCAACGGATCCGAAGTATTTTGCGCATTTCAAATCCGTGGATGCGTATTCCTGATGAGTTTCATACTAACGCCAAATGACGGTTCTATGCTTCCACGATTACAGGAGTGGTTCAGATAATATCAGTTCGCAATCTAAACTGCGAAAATTAAATTTAAATTTGTTAATCTAACATAGTGGAAATCTGTATGAACATTGGAATAATGACAAACTAGATACAGTTCAATCAACTGTTTTTTGTAACTTTCAACAACAGTCCCTATTAATTTTAGAAATTAATCTACAAGTTATTATTCATGTTTTAAATGGAATATTTGAGGTAAGGAATAAATATTATCCCTTTAAAACACCTTTAAGTATGGCGAAACTAGACATAGATACTTCTGTTATCACGAAAGTCCTACTCTCCTACTGTTGCTTACGAAATTGAGAGAACAAAAATCAAATATTCGGCGCTTCAACAGGGTTAGTGGACGCAGAGGGTTTACTTAAGGGAGTTGAAAAACCCTGACTCCAAACCAATGGTACACATGGGCTCTACGACCCTAGTGCAACAAACGGCGTATGAACCAATCGTTGTTCACTGACTACCATGTGACTACATATCCTGACATTGCTCCACTTCATTGTGGATTAAATCTTTAGGTCGATAGCTCCGGATGTGGCTCCCTATGAAAACTACCTGTGTTCAATCTGATCACCCTGTCAGTATCACAGTTCACAAAACAATCAAATGATTTGTATGGTGCATATGTATTCGGTGCCTTTTTGTAACATTATTTCTGTGTTCATATACATATAGACTTTATTTGACTGGTCGGTTGTTTGTTTTTTAACATATCTACAATTAAAAGCTTAGTATAACTTAACGTAAAATTTGAGCAACAATTGACTGACCTATGAGGTTTATTCATTTACTTTATTAATATCAAACAGTTTATTGATTATTTAACCAATTATTGTTATTTTTTATATTGTATTCTTAAATAATCAATATTTTGTATCTAGGTCTTAATTAAAAGATCATAAATAAATAAATAAATAAATAAATTAATTAATTAGTAACTAATTCGATTAATTTTAATATATAAACAATTTTTATAAAAAGATAAATAATAATAAATAATGGATCGAATTAATGAAATAGAATTTAAACAACTTTGTCGTTTATTACAAATACAAACTGATGTAACAATAAAAGATTTAAAAAAAGCATATTATCGTTTAGCTAAAAATTATCATCCAGATAAAAATCTTGGTAATGAATCATCTACAACACATTTTATACTTGTTAATCGAGCATATCAAACATTATGTAATGAATTACATCATAGAAATATAAAACGTTCATTAGAAGTTTGTAAAAAGTAAGTTCATATTACACTATTTTGAATGATTTCATTTGGATAAGACAAACATTTTTCTTTTCTTATATATATATATATAATCCTTCTGTGCTTTATGTGTAATGTTTTTATGACAAGATATAAGACATTAGAAAGTTTTTCGGTTAAAAAATCTCTCTGTTTAGTGGTTAAAACAATTTGATCGAAAGTTTCAGGAATATATCTTGTACCATTAGTTGGTAAGACATCTTCATAATTTTGAAGATGTGATAACTTGTTATATCTGGTCGTCGATGATTGTTGTGTTGGAAACTCTTATCACTTATACTCGAAATGAGAAACCTCTGCAATTATTATTACGCGAAAGTGAGAACACAAAGACTGGCATATGTGAAGATTTATTAACCCCAAAACACGACGACAACGACGACCCTAATCGGAAATACAATTATTTATATATTGATTGTACACCCATTTTGATTAATAACTAGAATGAAATCACATATATGAAAAATACTCAGAGTTATAACAAATCACAGACTTAGCATAGTTCATGTTAATTAAATACAAGAATATTGTATATTATGCAGAATAAATGATCATACGAGGAAAGAAAACAAATACTACACTGAATGATCATCACATTGGATCAGAACGGAAGTTATGTTAAACAAAACTCATAATTAATAAATCAATTAAATCTTGACTTTTCTTTCTATCATAGCAGAAGAAACTATCGATCCCTATGTTTTGGCGATATCAAGTCACCAGTCGGCAAAATTACACTTCATTGACCCTAAATAGTAAACAAACATAAAAATGATCACTGGTTAATAAGTAATTATTTTGTTTCATTTAATTTATGAACCGATCAAAGCTAGATCACCATTGAAAACCTGATAACATTTAATGGATGTTTCATTCTAGTATCAAACTCCTCATTAGTGTGCATCTGTGACTTCAAACGCAGAAATCGAAGTCACGCGTGAACTTTTCACCACGGAGCCTTCATCGAACAATATTGATGTATAACTTCGATCGATGCACGATATTGCACAATCTTCATCTACTGCCTGAGGCGAATGACTATCGCATATGCGTTACGGATAGAACTCCACATAAGTATTTATTAAAATTCAGGCTTCATGAATATATGTTTGTATCCTTGACTTATAAAGTATTGTTTGCTAATTTTTTGAACAAATATTATTTTCATTGAATATGAAAATAACTCCAAAATTTAGACAACGATTTCTAGCTAAGATGGATGCTTCAGTTGACAACAAACACTTCTCGCTTGAACCAATCAGCTCAGAGAGTGCAGCATCAACAAAGCAATCCAGTTTATATACAATATAAAAGAAACTTCTATAAATAGAACTTTCATGGTTTTATTTATTTCAATCTAGTAGTTTTAATAATTATTACGGATTTAAAGTAATCTACAAAACTTTACAATAATGAAACTCCAAAAAATAAAACCTTGGGATATTATCGAAGAAAAATATTGAAGCACACTCCCTTTAATTTCATGTAAGTAATGTTATGACAAGTAATTTTACATCCACCTAGGGAATCTGGGAACCTGTGATTCCAAACCAATGGTACACATGGGCTCCAGTATCCTGAAGGAGAAAATATCGTATGAACCAATCGTTGGTCACCGGCTACCATGGAACTGCATATTCTGACATTACTCCACTGTATTGCGAATTAAATCTTTAGGCCGATGGCTGCAGATGTGGCTCCCTACAAAAATACCTGGTTTGATTTGAGCGCGCGGGCGGTATCACAGTCCACACACAAATCAAGTAACTTGTGTGGTACATATGCATTTGGTACCCCTTTGTACCAATATTTATATGTTCAAATAAATAAATAAATAGTCGCTAAGATCTACACTCTACTAATGAATGCTCATATATGAATGATTTTATTAACTGACAAATACAAATACATATAACATTATCAATGCATCGGTCACTGAACTAAAGACTGTTTATTTAATTATTATTATTTGTAGAAATAGGTTTTTTAAATTTGGAGACATTATTTATTAAAATCAACTAGAAAACAGAGAGTATTATGTAATTATTTGCTTTTCAACAAAACCAGTTGTAAGATATGCAGAAATAATGGTCTGACAGGTGTCAGATGAGTTATATATCCCCTTATCCCTATTATTATTACTCACTTATTATTGATTGTTCATTGTTGTTGCATTGTGTCGGGTTTTTGGTGTGGAAATATATTCACGTTCTGGTCAGGCTAATTACGTGTTCTTGATCTGAGTTTTGTTGAAGTCCTGTAGAATAGACACTGGGCGGGAATCTAGTGTAGATATTTGTCTGAGGTAAATTAACGTCCCATTAGACGAAGTAAAAACCGAGCGTTATAACAATCACAACTGAACTTTGACTCCGTTAAACTTGAATGAAACTGCTATCAAATTATTCTGAAAAAAAACACTTGAAAAAATATCATAACAAATTAGCTCCAAACATGGTTTTTGTAGTCATTTAAGCAAATTGTAGTTGGAAAGTAAAAGCTTGTTGATCATCATAGTTATATTCATATATTTGTCTCCGCTAATTTCGTCAGTGACTTTAAATACTTTTATTTGTTTGACAAGGAATGTTACCATCTAAAATCTTAATTAAAGAATATTGTAGGTTATGAAATAAATGCAGATTTGTAGTTGATTTCAATACATTTAGTAGTGTTTAATTCCTTAAAATAAATGATTTAAATGCTTGAGATCCTGAGTCAGTTGAAACTAGACCACCATGGAAAACGTAGAAGCACTGGACGACCGTTCATTCACGATCCCGCCTCGCGGGATTCGAACCCAGGATCTATCAGTCTCGCGCGCGAGCTTTTAACCAATACACCACTGAGCTAGTCGGCATCTAACGGTGTTAATATCTAACTTCAACTAATCCACGAAATCGAACGACACATCCACCATCGTCTTCAGTGAGTTCCTATCTCATAACAGACCTGGTTGAATTCCACTAGTCACTGCTTCACACTGGAACTCCTGGATATACCTCTTGAAGCCAGTCACTAGTGAGCAGATGATTATTACCAAAAGGGATTTTGTGGATGAATCCCACAATAGGACGAAACGGCCGTTCAGTGCTTCGAGGTTTTCCATAGTGATCTAGCTTCAACTCACCCATGATCTCAACCATTGAAATTACTATCTTATCCACAAAACTCCTTCTAATATAAATGATTTAGTTGAGAAACTTTCATTGACATTTTGAATAAAATTATTAACGCCTTCTTCTAGGAAGAATGTAACTCTTCACAATATACCATCTTACTCATAAGTTAAAACACTATCAAGGGATTCAATTTGATAATAAGTTGAAATATATCAATTTTCCCTTAATATTTCTTATTTTAAGAGAATAACTAACATCCTATTAAATATTCCATCCGTTTTTTTTTAACAAACATAATTTTTTTTTCTTTTGTAAGTTCAAAATGGAAAGAGAAAAAATCGAGTATTGTAGAACAATTTTTATCAGATCTACAAAGACAAGATATTGATTGGCCGAAATCAAATAATTTATACAATGAATATGATAATACATATTCACCAATTGACAAATTATTAAATCATTTATTAGAAGCAACTGTATTAAAAGGAACTAATTCAAAAAGTAAGTCTATTTTATAATCAATTAAGATAATCCTTAGTGTTTTCTTTTTTATTATCAATAACTTTGGATTGGTTGAAGTTGGACATTAACACCGTTGGGTGCCTGCTCAGTGGTCTAGTTGGTTAAGCACCTGGCGCGAGACTGATAAATCCTGGGTTCAAATCTCGTGGGAGGCGGGATCGTGGATGCGCAATGCTGAGGAGTCCCACAATAGGACAAAACGGTCGTCTAGTGCTTCCACGTTTTCCATGGTGGTCTAGTTTCAACTGACTCATGATTTCAACTATTGAAATAACTTTAAAGTAAAATATATAATTCATTTCAAGACTTCATTTTCTCTAGATTTTAGTTTTTTCCCCAGTACATTGGTATATCTTCCATTAACTTATTTATAGCATTTAGCTTTGAATCAAATCACTGATGAAAGTTCACTTCATTAAATCTGAATTATACATTAAATTTAAAGCAATTAGTCCCTTTTATAAATTCCGATAGAACAATGAGAAGATGGAGTTGATCTGAAAAATGTGATGTGATGATTACGTCACATCCTATTGTATTTACCAATTTACATGTTTGTGTGGACACACATACATAGGGAGGAGTAATCCAACAATGCAATCAAGGGTCAATGAACATGTGCCTAAATGGCTTCAAAATCAATGTGTGTCAAATGATCCGATCAACGTGGGGGGTAGAAAACCAGGTTCATCGATAGTGAAACTTATAATTGAAACGGGGCACAAAATTGACATTAACACAGCTTTTAGAACGTTGTATAGGAATTGTCAAGGACGAATTCTTAAGTTTATTGAAGCTTTGGCTATTCGTGAATTTAAACCCCCATTATGTGTACAAAAACAATTTGTCGTAACCTCGAATTTACCTTGGTAATCCTTAAGTCATTCTATGGCCTAGGATAATCCGACAACTTCTTATTCTTTCTCTCCCCTTTGTTACTTTTTTTGTTTGTTTGTTTGTACTTGAACTTTCATTTAATTGACCTTTATTAATTTTCATATAAAATGCCCTGACAAGTATATGTATGACCAGATTGTTCGAAATGTATAGCGTAAAATACATCACATTTTTCAGATCAACTCCATCTTCTCATTGTTCTATCGAAATACATTAAATCAACAACAATAAAATACCTATTGAAGTCAGTCAGTAATGAGCACATGATGATTGTTATCAGAAGGGAGTTTTGTGGAGGAGGATTCCTATACTAGGATGAAACGGCCGTCCAGTTCTTTCAGGTTTTCCATGATTGTCTAGCTTGATTATTAAATTACTAAAAATCTCCACCAAACCCCGTCCTAATAATAACAACAAAATAGTCAACAGAGCTTATACCAAATTAGGCATTGAAGATTAATAACATCGATCTTTAGAACCTGTAAGGAAAGGTGAACGAGAACACAAGTAGAGATAATCGAATGTATTTCAACACAAAATTACAGGATAACCTAGTAAAATATGATAATCATACAGTAAATACTTCATTTGCAAAATATTAGTCAATCATATCAGACTTCATTGTTCTTTCGTTTCCACTCTAATCATTCTCTGTTCTCGTTCTCTTTTCTTCGATTTTCATAACCTTCTATCTCCAGGTATTTCACCTTCGATTGATGATACATATTACCTATATCCATCAACATCATCAGCACACACCACAGTGCAAGTTCTCATACTACATAAACAAAGAGCAATTAAATTAACCGTATATGTGACAGTATAATATATCGGTACGACAAAATATATTTTTTTGTATGACACAAATTTAAGATTAGAATCTCCTAGATTTAAATAATGTTAAACTTTCTTAACTGAGTACTTAATATTACGATTTTAGAGACATTTTTTTCTCCTAGATTTTGTATCTATTAGGATTCATATTAAAAATCATGTGTATATTCATGATCTGAAATCGTGTCCGGAATTCAGAAGTTCATTGAATAACTATGAAATCTATCAATTTATAAATAAGTTAATACAATGATTTTTATTCTATTGTTATCTGTGAACCAGCATAATAACTTATTAATTTGAAGATTTTATGTAACCAATGTAATAAAATGAGAAGAAAATTGATTTCATAGACTGTGGTAATCCAGTTCGAAACCTATTTTGCTAGTATAATAGTGCCTTTAATATATATATAGCAATTAAATTGATTTTTGGAGGTGGGGGGAGGAGAAAGCCTATCATAATGATGATAGTTTGTAAAACCGAATGAATAAAAATGTTTTAATTTTAATGAATTGTAGTTTACATCAAAATTATTACTTAATCTTTAATACCATCATATTGTAGATATTCAGATGAATGATCCATATATTCATTGTTTTTCAATATTTTATGAACTTGGTTTATATGAATTTCATAGAAAAAAAATGTCTAGTTTATTACAAATTAATTCATTATAAGTTCCGATTAAACTACTTGAACTAGATAATCTTGTACTAATGTGTCAAGTGCTCCTAAATGCCCTGGTACGACCAAGGGTAAAGGGAGTCAGCTCTTCCTCTCGAAATGCTCTCACATGGCTACGCGTATACAGCCACTATCAGGGAAGTCCTACTCACTGCCTTCTCGCAGCAGGCGTGTTGTTTACCAAATCGAGAGGACAAAAAACGAATATTCGGCGCTTCAACTGGGTTGGTGGACGCAGAAGGTTAATCTATTGGGGTTGGAAAATCCTGATTCTAAACCAATGGTGCACATGAGCTCCAAGATCCCAAAGGAACAAATGGCGCATGAACCAACCGTTGTTCACCGGCTACCATGGGATTGCGTCTCCTAAAGTCGCTCCACTACCTTGTGGATTAGACCTTTAGGTTGAGTGCTCGGTGTGTAGCTCTCTAAGAACACCATTTGCTTTGATTTGGGGATGCGAATAGTATCGCAGTTCACACACAAATCAAGTGACTTATGTGGTGCACCTGTATTCGGTGCCCCTTTGTAGCAATATTTTTGTGTTCAAATAAATAAACATCTCAAGTATAAATGGATTTCAAATTATTTATTCATAGATTAATCCATTCTTATCATGATTTGAGCTTAAAAATTAAAAATATTTACAATTGGTTGGTCAATAAGTAGTGTCTACTGTCATGTTTGTCGAATTCTTCAGTGCTGATCAATGAGGTCAGTAGTTTAAGTGATTTAACACCACATGTTAAAATATTAGGTGAATATGTGGTATTCAAAAGGAAATTCTGAACCTAAGTTTTATGTTATTTGACATTGGTCTGCAAGACGTACCTTTATTCTTGAAGAAACTGATTCCCCCAGTATGATTCCTTCGACCACCGATAAATCGAAACACTTATAGTATGTGCTATTTCTGTCAATTTTGTGTCTACGAAATTCTTAACCTATTTGTGCCTGGTACTAAAAATCCTAAATTCGACAACGTGGAGTTAAAACATAGAGACTGATAATATGAATTTATATGAGCACGGAAATATGTCAGAATGATAAATGAATATGCTACTTTTCATATAGACTTATCTACAGTCAAGTGGACTTAGCCATGTTAGCAGGTGTAGACTACGTGGTTGGGATCCGCAACATGATAGCAACCGATGGTTAGAGACCTTGAATGACATGGCTCAAAATCGTTTGTGTTCCCCCAAATTCTAATCTTTTGAATTGTTCGTGTCCGTTTTTTTTCTCTTTCCAAATTTATTTCGCTGGATGATACTCCTTGAATAACATTTTCAAATCCTAATTTTTCCGATTACTGCTTAAACTCTTACTACCTCTACCACTTTAGGATTTGAATTGACAACTGCATTTTTGTGCTAATGTGGTATGGCAACTCGAACTGATGTAAGTACTTATGAAGTTCTACATTGTCACTGACTGAATGAAAGTCAGATTTGTGTACTTTGACCTGAACAGTAACACCAATTAATCAGTAACGAACTACAAGAACACATTTAGAATATCGTATAATTAAGCATTCCGTCTCAAAATGTAATTATAATTCATACACGAATTTTGAAAACATCCGTATTCTTAAATTGTCGTTCACACTCTAATCGAATAAGTCGTTACCAACCATATTAGTAATTTAATATCAAATGACAACAAAATACACATACACAATATTTTTTTCCGGAAAAAAGATCAACATTTGCTGAATCTTAATACATTTCACTATTTTTTATTTACTATGGTAAATTCAATGTTACGTTTGTACACACGCGTTGTTCTGTAGTGACATATGCAATTAGTAAAGTATCTTTTTTGCCTTACAATATTCTGCCAGTTCTTCTGTTACATCATAACAATCATAAGTAATTTTAATAGACTCCATCAGACTTTAATATCGATTTATGTCCTAATGGTAGTAGTAGTTGTTGTTGTTGTTGTTGTTGTTGTTATTGTTGTTGTAAGAGATGAACAAAATATCATTTTTTTTTCAAAACTAAACTGTTACGTATAATGCTCAATTATCCTACAGCCATAAACTTACAAATAATAAGGAATTAATAGGATATGCCCTAATAGTTCTTAATAGTTTAATGTCTGTATTGACTGAAATTGCCAAAGTTTTCATTTACAATATATGGATTTAAAGAACTATGGTTTTCTGATCAAATTAATGATGTCCTATTATTTTTTGAAACATTTTTTTATAAATCTATAGAGGAACAAACATCAGAACAAAAACATAGAGTTAATCCCAGTCAACCAAAATATACTACATCCAACTTCCGTGTACACCAACAACACCAAAAAGAATTCGAAATACAAGTTCCATCAACAAATGAAAAATCAATAGTATCTTATTGCAATGATGTAAATTATTTGAATTCCCAAAATCAGTCAAATTTACAACTCAACAAATTAAGTGAAAACCGTATTATTCAAAGCAAAAATACAGATTTAAGTAAGTATAACCTTTTTGATTAAGATCATGCAGAGATTGATGTTAGACCACCATTAAAAACCTGGAAACACTGAACGGCTATTTCGTCCTATTGTGGAACTCCATAGCAGTATTCATCCACAATCCCGGTCTTGGGATTCGATCGTGTTCATACAGTCAATTGTTTTATGACATCTGGTATAATGATTGAATATCAAACTGCTTCTTATTATCTAACTCAGAATAATAAGATATTGATTTACACTGCAATATATTTAAACTGTTAAAAGATCTTAACTACTAAGGTTTTAAATAATATACTAATCTAAACTCAGTAACGCTTCCGGAAAACAAATATTAGACAACCTTGAAAGTATTAAGTCATTCCATGAAAAATTTAGTTAAAATACATTTGGTTTGCTTATTAAAGTCGGAATATCAGTTTTCTTGAGGCGACCAAAGGAGTTTGATAAGAAGTAGCAGTGAGGAATAATAATGGTTTTACTTGAAATACTGACATATGAAGTTGGTGAACATCGCTTCAATCCTAGGAATATTTTGTAAACTTAATACACTCATCTGAGTCAATACTGTATTCCTTAGGAATACTTGATATAATTATGGCGGTATAATCATGTGCAAACGAAACTATACTCAGTTTTTTTTACCAGGTATTCATATGCTTTGTTTAAAACTTTTTTCTTATAATCCAAAAAATAGTTCAAGACAAATTTTAATAAAACTCGCTGTTTAATGTAGTGTGTAGCTCGGTCGGTTGGCTGGAATAGCCTTGGAAGTAAATCCTCTGATGAGATGCAGATACTTAGTGATTCGCTGCTAACCTGAAGATACGTTGTTTGCTGTGGGAGAGTATGAAAAAATCAGGGAAAGAAAATAAAAGGGGAGAAAATGAACCCATGAGTCAGAAAGCATATGCAATACACTTGCATTTTATGATGAAAGCAATCAACAACACTTTGTAACAATAAAAGCGTTAGATCACGGCAATCTGGGAATTGAAACTGACCGTCAGTAGAATAAGATTTTGAGTTCATTGCAGTAAATATTAATTGTGAGTGACTTATATGTAAATTTTCAATTTATTTAAAACAGATAGGTTGTAGTTAGCAGTGAAAATCAGTACACGAGTTTTGTTCTATCTGGGACTCATCAACTCGATATACCTGTATCTCAGTGTTGATGTTCACACCTAGACTAGAATCCAGTACCTTCCAATCCATAAAAGGAAAACATGTGTCCAGTTTTTCACTATTGGTCGCAACCTATCCATTCTAAATAACGTGTAACAAACTGATAATCTTGAAGTAATTTTCACAGAATGGGCAAGCAAACAGTAGTCAAGATTAAGTAGCGAATATCAAAAGCATAGTATAGTTTATACCCTTGATATCAATCTTTTGTTCGAGTAATCACCTTCCCTAAATCATAAATTCCTTGAAAGAATGTATTATGTTAGTGACTAGCACTATGGTATCGATTCAAATGTGAATTATTAACCTTCTTTTCCTAATCAATAATTATTGAGTATTTTTTTTGTAATGTTCACATAATACTAATCTCCTTTGAAATCTATGACTTGACAATGTAGTGCTCAGCGTTTTGAATTATTAGTGGTCTTTAATAGCCTAAAACATGTGAATATATAAAAAATAAACATTTTCTAGAATGGAACTAAAGTACATTACTCCAAAACCTTAAAAATATATATAAATGCTGGGATGAAGTCTAAATATAGTACAGATAAATATACATTCTCATGGCTTAAATCACAGACCAATCTTAGCTAAATCAACATTAAAAACCTTGAAGTACTAGACAACCGTTTCGTAGTATTAACGAGTCCAACAGTGCGCGTCCCCTGCTAAACAGCTGAAAGTGGAACCAGGACATAAATTCTCGCGTACAAACGCTTAACAACCGAACTAATGGACTGCATTGAACAGTATTGATGCATAATTTCGATTAATTCGTGATATTCCACAATCTTCATCGATCGCCTGTAGTATATTGGAGTTAAATATTAACACTGTCCAATGCGGGCCTAGTAGTCTGAAGGTTAAGCTTTTGCGCGTGCAACTGAAGATCATGGCTTGAATCATGGATTTTGGGGATCAGGCGTTAACTATTGAGCCCGATACTAGGACCTAACGGTCATCCAGTGCTTCCAGGTTTTAAATAATGATCTACCTAAGATTAGTTCAAGATTTGGTCTATAGAAAATTTACTATCTTCAAAAATCCCCTTATACTAAGAATACACATCTGTTCGATTACTTACCTTTTTAAAATAACATTATTGTACTTATCATTTTCACCTTATCTCACTAAAACCAGATATTGTCTTAGTTACTTTGGTTGTTTTTACATTGAAAAATATTTACTTATAGAGAAGTGACATGAGGTTAAAGAAAAATGTCACCAAATTAATCTATATTCTAAGACGATATAAAGTTGTACAACGGAGTGAATGACTGTAAACTTTCGTTAATTCAAGTTAATTATAAATTTCATCCTTAACATCCTCGCCATTTATTCCTTCAGGATCGTGGAGCTCATGTGCACCATTGGTTTAGAATCAGGGTTTTCCAAATCCCCTCAATATCCATCAACCCAGTTGAAGTACCGGACATTTGCTTTTCGTCCTCTCAATTTGGTAAACAACACGCGTGCTGCGAGAAGGCAGTGAGTAGGACTTCCCTGATAGTGGCTGTATACGCGTGTGAGCGTTTCGAATAATATACTTTTTTCTAATATTACCTCCATGATAAAGCCTGCAAAAATATACATATACTATCACAAGTATCTATAACCTTTTATTAATCTTTTTTATCAGATGAATGGATCAATGAAGCACAACATTTATTAGATAATATAAAAGCATCCAGAAGATTAAGCCGTTTATCGTGTACACCATGTCTAAATAATAGGCGAAATTCAGAAATGGAATGTACTAATTTAATTCCAATTATTGATAATCCAGGTAACAAGAATTTATCTTCAAAAATTTTTCATCTTTCTTAACTCTATAGTAAAAAATTAGGAGTATGATAATGTGATATGCATTTCCTACTGAAAACACTTATTTCATTTAGCTGAGCAGATTCTAACGATTATTTCTATTAGAAAATCGTGTTTCATCATTGGGTAATGATTGAAAAGTAAGGATCATTTAATAGCTGTTCCGTTCTCGTCTGGGACTTCTTACCTATGTTCATTGATGACACTTCCAGGAGTCAAAAGAAAGAGTTACATTCTGACTAATGAGCTAAAATCTAATAGCCTGAATTTTCTGTTATCAATAGAACATGACAATTATTCAATACTATAAGTTGACATATGTCTCTCTACCGACATAATTTAACTCAACTAAACAAGATTTCTCACTAGGAATTCAAGAATCCGGTGTATCACATTGAGTTGTACAATCAAATTTCAATCATCAAGAAAAAGAGCTGAAAATAAGTTGTATGTCGTAATAAACAGCAGCAATACCGTTTAATCGGATGTTACTGAAATCCTCGTATGTATCAATATTCATATTAAAACTTCTGTCCAGAGTCCGTTATTTCAAACATTAAGGCATCATCAGTTCTGAAACGGAGTTACAGTAGCCACTTCTTATTTTATTTGTAACAGTTCTTATTGGAATTCAGGATTGTTTGTTATTCATACACTCAAATCAGAATTTGTCAGTGTCATGCAGTTAGTTGCTTAAACTTCCGATGTCCGATTAAGAACCTACTACATTCATGAGGATCATGGTATTCATTCAGCAACACGTTTTTTTTCATCACCGGCTTTGAATTGAAGCTGTTATAAATGAGGTCAGTTGTAAGTTAAATAGCTCAGTGGTAAAAACTAAAACTATGGGATCGAGTGACCTTGGTTTAATCCCATAAGTAGCATTGACCCCCGTTAATATTACTGACACGTCTTGCCGACAAATGCCAACTAGCACAAAACTTAAGTCCAAGTATCGTTTCTAACCAACCCCAAAATACCCAATTTTAAATCAACCCTAAACATGCCTATTATATAAAATTCTTGTTTTATACTAACATCAAGAACCTACTACACAAATGTGACTATTTATTTTTAAACATTAGTGGATTTGTAATTATTTCCATACTTAGTATCATAGTTTATAAAATATTTACTCCTATGAACATAATTAACTTCGAAGGTTAATCCCATGATGAGGAAACCCTTAATTTAATGTCGACAATCTATTAACAGTTTTATATTCAAATTTTTGGAAGAAAAATAAAACAAATACCAACTGAAAATTAAAAATTTTAGAATATCACAGAAAACATAAGTCTTGGATTTTGGTGCCAAATTCACTCATTCATTTGGTTAAATAGAGTTTTGGCATTATAACTGATGTCAATTCATGATGAAAACCCGAAATCTAATTTCTAGCCTTAATTATCAACTGTAAATTGTAATTATAATTCCTCACGAAAGTTTATAACCCTCATTTGGTCCAGGTTAATAAGTGGACACTCTCAAGATCAATCTAGAGTCGCTCAAAGGTCGTCCATAAACTATAATTTCACCGTCAATTCTAATCACTTGTCCAAAATAAATTATGTCAAATGTAAAAGTAAAGCATAAGTATGAGCCAATCAGGATCAAGAATGAAACTTTCAAATTTTTGCGCAAAATTTGAATATTATGTATTACAAATAGTAGATACACCTTTGTACACTGAATAAAATGTTTTAAATGATGACAAAATATTTATTTTTGAATTCCACTTTAGTTCAGGAAATCAGTTAGTAACACAAGTCATCATAATTCATTTGGTATAATTTTGTTTATTATATAATGTAGTCATGATTGTTTGCTACTTTGTATTTTTTGTTTTCTTTTTATATTAATCTCTTTATTATTAGATATGATGCGATGTTTGATTTGCTACAGAAAATTTAAAATTGATGTAGCAACTAAGCATGTAGAAACATGTACACGTAAAGGTAATGGAACTAATTCATTAGGTTCCACTACTGCTACCGGTTATTCACCTATTTCTTTTCGTGCTAGACAAGTAAGAGAAAATTATCTTTATATATATATATGTATATATATATATATATATATATATATATATATATATATATATATATATACCACAGACAAGCCTTAATTTGACAAGTATTAAAACCATGAAGAACTGAACTAATGTTTCTTACCAGTTTAAGGATTTTCAGTAGTACACATCCATGACTTAATCAAGAATTAAACTCAGCACCTTCAAGCCTTACATCAAGTACTTAGTACTTGGACAATTAGTTCAGTAAAGGATTTAAAAATAATGGTAAAGCTGAACTATACCTGTTTTAACCAATCATGAGAAGGCAGAGAGGATAGACCATAAGATATGTATGTAAGGATTATTGCATTACAGCTAATTCCAAACCGTGTCATTGGTTTAACAATATATTTCGCGTTTACTGAAGTAAATCACGAGAACTCCTCACAGACTAAATAAAATATCTTTAAGTCTTGTAATTATCGCTATATTCCAAACCTGTGAAACCATATGCATCGGTCTACATTTACAGCCTTAATTGATCCGCCGTGAATAGCAACCATCACTATACAGTGTTATTTATGTACTTTGGTTAATAAACCTAAAAAAAAGAAGAAGCATCTCAATTCAACAAATGAGTCAACTTTGAATAATGTAGAAATAATGCTGACAACAAAACCACTCAATAGTTTAACATTTTATTAAAATTTTCTAGCAAAATAAACTCCATGTAATCACTGCACACAGATGAAAAGCGATAGTAAAGTTATGTGTGGAAAAGATGGATAGTGGTTAGCAGTGGAATCACTAAGCTATTCGGATTGTGACGTTCTTTTTACAGGGTTTACTAAACAGTTTTCATTCTAGGCAAAGATGGATAGTGGCTAGCAGTGGAATCCAGGGACTCGTCAGCTGGATGTACCTGTATCTCAGAGTTGATGTTCACTCTGCGACTCAAACCTAGAACTGTTTGCTTCAAACGCCTTCGAGCTATCCACTTAGCTACTGAGTCCTGATAGCCACCCGCTTGTGCGATTAGATGAATTTAAATTCACTTGGTGTTGTTTACTTGTATCTTCCCATGGGTTCGAGTCTCAGAGTGAACATCAACTCTGAGGTCCAGGTACATCCAGCTGACGAGTCCCAAATAGGACGAAACGCGCGTCCTGGATTCCACTGCTAGCCACTGTCCATCTTTGTTTATAAAGCTTGTTACTTCAGGCAATATCGAGGCAGTCCGCATAGGATGCACATATGCCAACCAGAGACTGACCAACTGCAGTCCTAAATGCAATAAGAAGACTCAAGTAAATAACACCAAGTGAATACGTGTAGGAAGATGAAAATAGCAATCAGTTTGTTCACTAAGCAATCACACTAACATGTAGATAAAGTGAAAATTGTTAATACTACGGGATACTTAACTTTAATAATACCATAGTTCTACGAATAAAAAATAATTTGTTAGTATCATTGTTACTTTTTCCAACAAAAAGGTATGGGTAATTGTTACCGTTAGGAAATCATATTTATGATAGGGAATTACTAAGATTGTCATTCACATATCTACTTGACAAAATACTGAGCTAAAACGATGGAGCAGTGGTTCACCGATAAGAACTTTTGACTTTTAGCCACTAAGTCTCAACTTCGAAACATGCCCCTACCTACTTCCGTTTGGACAATCAGATAGTATATCACAAGCTGTATGCCTTGAAACCAAATGCACGAGTCTGTATACTTGGTAAATGACATATTATGATTACCAAAACCCCAAACTACTTTAACTGAGTTTACTAGTGACTGTAAACGACCTATTATTCTACGTAAAAATGTCGAGGCTATCCTCATAGGATGCATATATGCCAATAAGAGACTGATCAATTGCAGTCTTAAACACCAATGATAAGATTCAAACAAACAATACAAAACGAATTTACACTTCAACTCATTGCACAATCTAGCAGTATCAGGATTCAGTAGCTAAGTTGATAACACGATAGTGTTTGAAGTAAACGGTAGTGGGTACGAGCCCCGGAGTAAACATCAGCTCTGAGATGTGGGTACATCTAGATGATGAGTCTCTGGATTCCCCTGTTAGCCTTCACCCATACTTACTTAAAATAAAATCTATTTTGTAAACCCTACAGAAAGAAAGTCGCGATCCAGATGGCTTAGTGATAACGTCTCAGACTGTAAAGCTAGATGATACAAATTTGAATCTCACACGAAGCTTGACTTCAGTAAAATTACAGGTATTCCTTACTGATGAGTGTTACATACCACGAATTCTAAGTCAAAACAGGATTTCTTGTCGACTACCTCGAATCATATTGTAAGTGCAGCTGAATCACTCAAACTAGCGGCCAAATTGCAACCTAATCGAAGAGATTCTATCAGTATTAAAGACCAGACTGATATGACATTAGTTACGATTCAATGAATAACCTATACAAAATGACAAATTGAGAAATAAATAAGCCGTTATAAAAAAGAATGTAACATTTCATATCTGGTTAGGATCAATCTATACAGTGTGAAACTAGATCTCATGTTGTGTACATGAAATGATTCACAAGTGAAAATCGGATGAATTTCTAAATTTTGTTTTATAAAGAGTTAACAATCATAGACGTCTGTTACCCACACTAAATAGGTTAATTTTATTATATCGAATATTCTTATCACTATTATTATCACTAGTACTCTGAAGATTTACAGAAAAGAACATTACATAAACCTACAATGACGCCAAATAATCAGTCGAAAAACGAAGTACAAAGGAGAAAAATGGAAACAGAAATCCGTATGTAATTTAATGTTACTCTTTTTGCAATTATTTTATTAACTTTGACAACATGAAAATGAACACTTCCCTTATTCGGAATTAATGGAATCGTAATGGATTCAAAAATCTTGTTTGGCCGTAGACAACTTGCATCACTTGTGGTGTAGACCAGATGTCTGTCAAACAATATAATGGCAAGTATAATGCTCAATAGTCTGTTCTATAATACTTTATAGCTGTGAAACGTGGCTAATGAACACAGATGATATGCATTGGTGTCTTTAACACTTTCTTAGCATACCGTCGAATGATCGAGTAAGTAAACTTGAAGTTACGTGCAGTGTACATGGTAAATCGGTGCACTTTAGAATTCATACGAAGGACTACACTCTAAAGTCGTCCATGGAGAACAGCTGAGAGACGTATTCCAAGTGACAAGCGGATTCAAATAAGGCTGTTTACTCCCTACCCTTTCTCTCTCTTCAGGTGGTCGACGGAGTGCACGGAATACAATGGATAATTTGAATATGGCTAGACGATTTGGACTTCTCAGATGACCTACACCTTCTATCCAATACACATGAAGACAGCTAGTGTAGTAACAGCCTGTGCATCAGTAGGCCTCAACAAATACAAGGGCGAAAGCAAAATCCTTCAATACAACACTGAGAATACCAACCGAATCACATTTGATGGATAAACTCTGGAAAATGTTGGACGTTTCACGAACCTGGTCAGCATCATCAACGAATAACAAGAATATATCGCAGATGTGAAGACAACGATTGGCAAATCAAGAATAACATTCCTATAGTTGAAGAACATGTGGAACTCAAAACAACTGTCTACGAACGTCAAGACAGTTATACTGCACGGAGCTGAGACTTGCAGAACTACAACAACCAATATCAAGAGACTACAAGTATTTCTAAACAATTGTCCACACAAGATAGTCAATATCCGTTGGTCGGATACTATCAACAACAGCCTACTGTGGGAGAGAACAAACCAGACATGAAAAGGATGAATAGCAATTGGAAGCAACTGGAGAGGATTGCCCAGGACATAATTCGATGGAGAATGCTAGTGGGCGGCCTATGCTCCTCCACGAGGGGTAACAGGCTTAAGTAAGTAACATGGTAAATATGGCTAATTGATTGAGGTTTTGAATCATCAACCGAAATAGCAGGAAAATGTGTTGCATATATCCAACCACAACCTCTCTCAACGGATAGTGTGTTAGCTAGTTTAGGAGTGAGTCGGAAGAAAGTTACACGGCAGCTAAACCGAAACGTATTACTAGTTTCTAAAATCACTAACTGTTGGTCCAAGCCATATTGGAAAATACAGAAAACCTGGTTGGGGTCCACAATAAAGTCGCGATCAATGGTTACAGACGTCCAATAACATGGCTCAGAACCAGTCCCGATGGCGCAAACCGATTCCTCTTATATCTCATCTTCGAATTTCAGTTCCGGTATTCCTTCATAAATAACTTTTCATCCCATATTTTCAGTCCTCAGTCATCCTCATTACGACTGCTACCACGATTATTTCCACTCCTTTGGTATTCATCTTGTTAATTTCATCTCGTCGTGCTTACGTCTTATAGCCACTCAGTTCAACGTACATTTATCTGAACAAGGCTATACACTGATTATGACTGACTGACATTATGAAACTGGATAAAAAAACACAATAATTCTAGTTTGCTACACTTATATACAGCTCAATCAAATTTACATGTAACATTATAGGTGATTATTGTATTAAATCATCAAGATATGAGTCGTGCAAAATTAACTGTCAATATTCTGAAGAGATAAACAACGTAGTCATATAGTGAAAGCAAGTAGTTAGGGACACAGTGACTTAACCAGTTTTTCTCAATTCAAAAGTAACCATCATAGTTTATGTAAAATGTATTGGAAAAAAAGACGGAGATAGTTACTAACTTCCATCCTAAGGCTTATCCAGCGAAGTTGCTCTACATTTGGGACTAAATTAAACTATTCATGATGAATTAATAAACGATAATATAACGCTAGTAATTATTCCTTTCGATGTATCATGGAACAAATTGGGCGTCTATTCACCATCTACAACTAACTCCAGCATTAGTTAACAAAGGATGTCCCTAACTGATATTATCTCCTAAGAATTACGCAATACGAAGCCTGAATTTATCGATGATATCAGTCTCCGATATATCTTTAATCCCCAGATCTCTTAATACAACAGAGGGTATAAGGAGTTCTCTCTCTAGAATAAATAAATAAAATAGCCCGTACCAGTGCTAATTAATCTGGCTAGATACACGGACATTCCTACTATCTCTAGGAACTTACCTAGAAGAATAAATTTAAGTACAATTTTCACAGTGAAAAATGCATACGACGTCTACATGAGCTGATTGTTAACTGACTACAAGTGATTTAGGTTTGTGATTGTAAGACAAAACGAGATCATCCACATACTCTACATTAAAGGTCATTCTTCGAGTAAATGACCTGTATGACTAACAAGGACTTTTTCCTGGACCTGCCTTCACGACCCGCTTAAATAGTAAAATCAGAAAGAGACGATAAGAGGAGGTTATTCTACGCAAACCTACTTCCAGTTTATCCCCAAGCAAAATACTAATTTTTTCTCTGATTTTATCGGGAAAAAAAGTAACATATTGACTTTACTTTCTAGTAAAGAAGACTTGAAGAACAGAATACTGCAACACATCAACTTCGAATTTATTATTCCAATGATTTTTCTACATTATCTTATTCTTTTCAACGGCGGTGTGTCCAACCAAATAATTACAATAAATTCCTTTTAAGAAATCAATTCATTTAATAGTGTCTCTTTACGTACCAAGCAATTTAACTGTTGATTCCAGATGGTCCGGTTGTAACTGACTAGTTAATAAAGACAATTAATGGATATAACTAGATAATTTGTGGATATTAGGATCGACATACTATTAAATTTAAACGCTTTTGGTTTATATTCACTACGTATTCGACGATGCATACGACTGATGCAGGAAAAATGGCCTAGTGCCCCAGCAAGGTTCATAGTAGTAAAACAAAGGAGAACGGTTATGTACTTTACCCATACTTCAGCATACCCGATAGATAGCATGCAAAGTAGTCTAAGTGTTCGGCTACTACGCTTAAATCGAAAAACGTACATATGCGAATCTAGTTGCTCTCAGTTATTTTAGTTGATTTTTTCTACAGATGTTACAATGTGAGACAGTGTAATGTCGATATCTTTATTTTAATCACCTTTCTCAGTACATTTTGTTCAACAAGCCCCAATTATTTAACTTTGCTATGTTTGAGACATTTTAGGTTGGTCATTATAATACATGAATGCACCATAAATTCCGAAAATGTGAACTCCAGGTTTTCAATCATATATTCTACACAATAGTTAAGTAAAATAATTCACATCACTTTGAAACTGCCCATTAAGAAATCTACATATCTATCAGCAATTTTAACTTAAATCAACCAAATTTGATGAGTAGCTAATCCCTCATTTGTTTTCAGTTTTGATTTCACACGTGAAAGTAGTCAGTTTAGTAAACCAGTAAATATGACTTATAGTCAACTACTATCGATTAAATATTTCACACTAGGTGGCAATATTTTACAACTCTAGAATAGGTAATAAGATAATAAGGTTCAACAAAGTAAATTATCAGATTTCCAACTCAGTATTTATCAAAATATACAAATAAGATTGATGGTCACAGTTTGGTTAAAAGATTTTTATAGAATAAATTAGATAGAGTTGCATAGATTCTAAGCTTACAATCTTCAAGTCTATTGTTACACTTAAACCATTGATTTAGGATCAAATAATTCATATATTCGAGATATAACTCCAAGAACATTTAATTTCATCAATCATAACAGTTTCATTCACAACATGATTGTACACTATTAGAATTACAACATTTCACTAGAACGTAAAGAATTCATAACTAAATGGTATAAATTTCATTAATTCCACAATAAACTTGTAAATTGGAAAATTATTATTACCTGATATTAATTTAAATATTCTTAAAATATTCGAGTAAGATAACTGTATTGATTAACTAAACAAAAACCTATCTTAATAGTTGAATTCATGAATCAATATAAACTGGAGGTGGGACTCGAACCCAGATTTTCAATGGTGATCTAGCTAAGATTGACTTATAAATCAAATCATTAAAACTACTATAATCTCCACAAATCTCCATTCTGATAAAAAATCTACTTACTAAAATTTAATGACCATTAAACAGTAGAAAGTTTTAAAACAAAAATTTCCAACTAACAGAATATAATTCGTATCACAAGGGGTTTTATGAAGATTGTAGTAATTTCAATAGTTGATATCATGAGTTAATTAAATCTAGATCATCATGGAAAATCTGGAAGCACTAGACGACTGTTTCATCCTATTATGAGAATATAATTCACCAACTAAGTTATTCGTTTATAATCAGGTGAATTTATTTATATGTTTAACTCAATAATCAAAATTTTAAAAATAAAATAAAAAACTTAAAACAATCAAAACTCTTCTCTTTATTTTATCAGTAAATTATCCAAACTACATAAACTTTACAAAAATCTATAGAAAAGAAATATTAATGTAAATATCATCTATTTTCAAGACAATGTTTAGCTGTTACAGATGGTATAATACGATTGATTAACCAATCAGGCATATCTTTGTGACAAAGACGAATGATATCATTATAACCGTAACGATCTGAGAAGTGTATTAGATAGATATAATCAACAGACTGAAAATATAAAACAAACGAGGAAAAGTGGAGATTTATTAGATAAAATACAACTAATTACTAAGTTGATAATAAAAATAATTATATCAATGAAATTAGTTACTACTTAGTAACTAATTAATGTAAATATCTCAGTCCTACAAGTCAATCAAGATCTAAATGATTCAGTGGTGATTTCCAGTTTGAGTTTGAACCTAACATTGGAGTATCACTTCTCTCAAGTAGCATGTTAGTACATTTTGTCAACGAGCCTTCACTAAAATAAAATTAAGATTCATGGATAGTTCTAGAGACAAACTTCTAACGATCCAACATCAAAATACTAATGGAACTTAAATTTGACCCATACAGCTGATTATATTACTCAGCTTACTAAATCGAAGTTTGAGTAGAGAGGATCTTGCACCTTCAACCTACTTTTTAAAAACCACATGATTTAACCAGTAAACTACTGTAGCTAAATTAGCGATCAACCATGGGTTAATGAAATAGAAATTCCTCTATAGCAGATTTAAAAACACACCGCGATGTATGACATTATTGAATCAATCAGTACAAAATATACTTTTGAATCCCGACTCAGTGGGCTAGAGGTTAAGCGCTCACGCCTGTAACTGTAGATCTTGGGTTTGGTTCCCGCGAGCGAGGTCGCGGATGCGCATAGCTAAAAAGTCCGATACTAGAATGAAATGGCCGTTCAGTGCTTACATGTTTTCAGTGGTGGTTTAACTTAGATTGATTCATGACTCAAATGAAATTCAACAATCTCCACATACACTTACTGACAATCACTTTGTTGTTGTAATTTTAGGCTGCTTATTAAAGTGGTCATTCAATTAAATAACGATTCTTTGCAGTTAATATGTCAAGTGTTGTGTCTCGATATTTAGCGACTCAATGAAATATTAGGTTATGGAAGAAATTATCACCACACGACAAGACTAACAAACCAGGTAAGTTAAAACCAGTTACACAGGATGATTAGTTTCCCGATCAAAGTTATCAACCTAGATACACATCAAGTTTCCCGTTTTAAAATATTACACTTAAAGATTATAACCTTATTGTGATGAATTCATAAGACAAAGGGGGGATATTTATCGAGGTGTTCTGTCGTCTGAGCAGCATTTTTCCTAAAGCTTTTTTTCCTTTAAGAAAAATTGGATATGATCTCTAGTCCACTAAGTTGAGAGGTACTATTGTCTGTCCTAATCCTAGTCAAATTTTCTACTCATTTACTAATGATGCTTTTAATAATGATTAACACGCTGAGAAGGATTTTGACTTAAAAACACCTTGCGGCTTTAACCAGAGATCGTTTTGACAAAAGTGAAAATACAAGCGTTTATTTCTACTTTGATGAGTAGCTTTAAAAGTCTTGACTAACTCTTCTCTGAGATCGCCTCTTACTATAGGGTTTCCCAACTCCCTTAGGTGGATCCTACATATCCACCAACCCAGTTAGAGCTCCGGATATTCGCTTTTCGTCTTCTCAATTTCGTAAACAATACCTCTGCTGCGATAAGGCAGTGAGTAGGACTTCCCTGATAGTGGCTGTATACGCGTAGACATGTGAGAGCATTTCGAGGGAGAACTGACTCTCTTCACCCTTGGCCGTACCAGGGCATTTGGGGGCTTATTTCACACTGAAGTTATTATCATTTATTTAAGGGACTAAGTACAATCGTCCGGACCAAAAATAACCTGTACGCAAAACGAGATCAGTCAGTCAGCTATAATGTAGGACCAGACACATATGCATCAGTCCAAGTTGCCACACCTCATTAACACAGAAACATTAGTACAAGGAGGCACCAGATACATATGCGTCACACAAATCTCATTTGATTTGTATGAGGGTTGTGATACTGCCCGGGTGCCCAAACCGAAGCAGGTACACCTCATTAACACAACAAAATGAACACCAAATTTATAGAAGCAGTTACTTCAATGGTAGCAATACATAAAAGAAAGATTGTGTATCAACATATAATACGGGAAGAAATAATTGGTTCGTAAAAAGATAGGTATAAAGCAATTTTAATCTCACGGTTTAAGGAAAGACAAATTTGTTTTTATTTATTTATTTGAACACATAAATATTGGTACAGTGGGGGCACCAAATATATATGCGCCACACAAAACAATGAGAATTTAAAGAGAAGGGAAAAAAGGTAAGGAACGTAGGGAATTAAAAAAGAGAGAGAGAACAATAATGGAGGAAACGAAAAGGTACAGTCAGAAGAAATCTTACAGTTAAGGAAGAAGCAACCACTCTTTATGAAGAAAGTAAAAGAAGGTTACAGCAGGATCGCCACTGGATTCTATTCTCAGCCATATCTGATAACGTTTCTAGCCACTGTGTTACACCATCTCTCGGACCCCAGCCAGGGAGTCGTGAGGGACCAACACAAGCCAGCCCTTCGCAGCTTTCTTTCATACCACGACACCATGTCATATACTGACCACCTCTCCGCTTTTTCCAACCAGTCCCACAGTCGGCAAATAATGCACGACGAGGAATTCTGTGGGACGACATTCGTAGAACATGTCCAAGCCACCGAAGTCGGTGTTTCAAGATGGTGACACCAATTGCATTATCGTCTCTGTGCCCGAACACACGATGCCGAACCTCTGCATTACTAACATGGTGTTGCCACTGGATGTCAGCAATCCTTCGGAGACAACGATGATCGGACACAGAGAGTCGTCTAACATTCTCAACTCGGAGAGGCCAGGTTTCACAAGCATAGATCAAAACTGCTCTCACCGGCGCGTTGTAGATCCGACCTTTTAGAGCCAGACTAACATCACGAAGGCGCCAAAGGTGGCCCAAATTGGCATAAGCCACTCTGGCTTTCACTATACGTGCAAAGAGTGTGTACAACCACGTCATTGTTATCGATTATAAGATATGTCATCTAGTCTCCAACCAGTGGTTAAGATGGTCGCGCGGACCCCAATCAAGTAGTCTGCATCTACCAACATGGCTCAGATCAGAAGTTAGTGACTTCAATGACTGATACTAAATATTAATAAAAAAGGCTTTCAGGCAATTGGTACAGCTGATGCTAATTATCATCATTTTTTAGAAGAAATAAGATGAACTCCATTCCGGTAGTGCGTTGACATGAAGTGAGGTTCTACTACTTTTGTCTGTACCTGTGTCGATTAAGTTAGTTTAGCTTAGAATATACGCTTCCCTGGATCCTATTGATTCAAGGTTATATCTGTGCAAAGGGAAGAACATTATGGAAAATGATGATTGTGTAGAGTTCCGTAAACTAATCTTTCGACATAATGGAAAATAGTTGATACACTAATTTTCTAGTTATGTTTTGTATCTAATATATATTCACTGTTTTCCAACCTACTTTTTTATCACATCAATAATCCGGCGTTTTGACCGGGTTGGTGGACACAGAGGATCCACCTTGGGGAGTTTGAAAAGGCCTGATTACAAATCAATAGTGCACATGGGCTACTGGATCCTGAGGGAACAAATGACGTGTAAACATATTGTTGATCACCGGCTACCGTGAAACTGCATCTCCTAACGTTGCTCCACTACCTTATGGATTAGACCTCTAGGTGAAAGGCTAGGGGAGTGTTCTTTTAAGAAAACCACTTGTTTCGGTTTGGGCACCCGAGTAATATTCCAGTCCCCACAGGAATCGAATGACAAAGTGTGGCACATATATATTTGGTGCCTCGGTGTACCAATGTTTATGTGCTTAAATAAAGTAGTAATAATAATACTAATAATAATAACACATTCACAAAGACTATGAGGACTTCTCTTCTACCTTGATGTGGTGCTCGGGTTTCCATTTCGTGATGACCCGACCAAGGTGTATATTAACTAGAACAATGGCTCCTTTGGGTTTTGCCATGACATACAGGTTGGTAAAATATGGTAAGACTAAAATCCCAAGTCGTACAAGCCATCCCTAAACGCTTCCTTCTCAACCATCTCAACATAAATCATCCTCCAACTGTATGAGCAGTAGGGAAAAGACAACCGCTCTTAAACTTCTAACACCACTCAAGGTCATCACTACTATTTATCTCGGTGAACACGATATCACCGGTACTAATAACATTAATCTGGTTTAGATCGGAAAAGTGTTTATAAGGTCTATGCAGCTATGAAAATTGCTTATTTGCACTTTGTTCCTTAAAAAAAACCAAATAAACTCAAAAATCCACAGTAGCAATTGAATTTAATACAACTCTGACACAAGAATATTTATAAACAAACAAGGATCAAACTAATAACTGAATAGTTCGGAATAAAAGCTAACCGCTTATTTCAGAAAAAACTAACAACTACCTTTAGCAAAGAAGCATTCTGACGAATTTCATCCAAATGCGTATGACCATGACTTCTAGCGCTTTCAATCTTACGATCTGGATTATCTAAATATGTTGCCTCCATTATCAATAAGCGAGATGATAAAAGATCTGGGCAGAGTGAATTCGCTTCACGAATAACAGTAAATCTAGAATCACCTATAACAGTAAACGAAACAAAAGAACATCTACACAACAATACAAGATAAATAGACATTCAATATTGTGGTTAAAACCAATTGTTAAAAAAAATACTTGACAAACAACAAATGGGTAAAAAATGTTTGGTGGGTTGGTAACGTTTTAGTAATAATGTCACTATTTCGAATGCTCAAAATACCTTAAGGCTTCAAAAAATATGGGTAGTGATGTTGGAAAGTGGAGTGTACAATGATACAGACGCGACTACCATTTATTATTTTAAAAATGGTCAAAATCGCGTCATTTTACTACTGTTAATTAGCATTAATGAATTTAACTATTTATTTTACTACAAAAATAAATCACTAAAAGTTGATCGATATTAAACAATTATCTCTTGTGCTCAACAGTGATAACGCGGTCGGTGAGGACATTGATTTTAATATTGTTTCACTTTAGCCCCCTCCAGAATAAATGTCGTTTAGAGGTATAAACAACCAGTAATCGTTAATCCCATACAAACCTCCATCAGCACTCAACTATGTCAACAAGGTTCTCGTCCTTGTTATCAGCTATTCCTATTTGGCTAAAACATCCTCTCCATATACAACCAGTATTAACGATTCCAGATTACGAAATATAACTTATGATCTCTTGAAATCTCTTCCTAAGTGGCATGTCAGATGACTTCATTTTAGAACGCTGAATCAGGTTAGACAATAAGCTTCAACAATTGAGACTTACGAATACCGTAAATTGTGTGGTCATATATTTAATTTTATAGAGGGAAAATAGGATCTATTCTTTATGAATCTGACAATGCAACAGCATCTCGTGATCTTCTTTATGCATTTTTAGCACTAAATAGCACTCCAGGAGCAGATTCCTATAAAATCGCATTGATGGGAAAGTAAGATATCGGAACAATAATGGTCTATGTTGCCTTCTGATAGTAGATCTTACTTACATTCCAACTAACTACAGATCGAATGTTGATTTTAAAAAATCCTTTTAATCGTTCCATATAAACTTAGGATGCTGATCTAGGGGTATGATATACAGTTTCATATAAAAACAAAAGTGACATTTGTACGCAAACTAAGTGATTATTGCTATTAAATCTCCTCTGTTTTTTTTATCTTGTTGACCTCTTTTGATGTACTGATATGAAGTGTGGCAACATGGCCTGGAGCACCTTTGAACCAGAATCAAGATGTCCATGGATGATGACCGACAAAGCGGAATCCACCACAATGCATTTTGTTGCAAATTCAATCAGAACGGGTCGTTGAAAGAAAGTAGTTGCTACCATATATTAGTTTCAGTCTACTACTCCCAGTTTTTATAACAGATATGATAATAGATCAATGTTTAACAAGATAGACCTTGAATAATGTCGAAGCAACTGGCCCATAAATATATAATGAGGATTCTCTTACCTTTGAACTAAATATATAAAATCAGAATGACTTAAATAACTAAAGAGCGACCACGTGTGAATAGGAAGCTTAAATTCCTTTACTTGGAAAAAGCATGCTAACACGTTTAATGAGAAAAAATGGAAAAAATCAACAAATTAGAGAGATAAGAAATATAAGATGGAACACACAAGTGTACAATTACATATATGTACATTGTTATTTACTGAAGTTGAAATACTACTGTTGAAAACGGGTAAAAGCTATCCCAATATGATTTTTTACAGAGCATTTATCACGGGTAGCAGAAATAATCAGCCATTAATGTTAACCGTAGAGTTTAAGGAAAAAAACGGTCGAACAAAAGTCCGAGAATCTAAACTAGCTGAGATAACTGGATCACCACCTATTCTGATGTGTAGTGTGGTTTGCCAAAATAAATGTTTAACATTCAGTTCAAGCTTCACATGAAAGAACTACTCACATTGCTATCAGCAGTATTGTGGATATAATTGAATAAGAACGAGTTTGCTAACAAAACAACGACATTTATGTAGAACCAGTCGTCCAATAATATTCCAACATACCTAAATAAGCTATTTCCGGAACTTCTTTGCCAGTGGGATCTCGAGAATAAAGTAAATAACCCACACTAGTAATCGAGTGATCAGTTGAAAAAACAACAGCATGCCAATTATTCGATAACTGAAAATGTGAAGAACCACATGTAAATGATGTAAGCACAACGAACCTCATATTTATTTCCTGGTTCAACGGGAACAAAAGTACCAACAAAGTCTGAGTCAGCTTTTTCAGACATAGCAGTGAAAGCATCGCAAATAGTCTTCACATGTGGGACTAGATGCTTTGGCATGAAATATGTCGCTCTTCTTAGATTATTTAAGGCCCTCTTTTTCATATGCTGAGCAATAGCTCCAATATGATCTGCATGTCCATGACTAGAAATTGTTAACTTCACTATTAAGTTACCTAATAAATATATGATCGGCAAAAACGAGTGATCTAGGTGAAAATCCAACATCGAAACCGAATACTTGACCATTCTTACGTACAGCAACACAGGTCTCGTTTCCGGCAACCGACCAGCCAAAAATTTCGAATCCCCCAACTTTCTGGAAAGTCATACCTAAATAAACTTTTATACATGACTGCACTATACGAAAAATTATTTAAAGCACATAAATTCCGGCACAATAGAGCATTAAAAACGCGTCACATGAATAATAAGTGAACAGGAACAATGCTTAATAGGAAATACATTTAAGCTAAAAACAGCCAATAAAGCCCTTTTTCAGATAAGTGTCCACAACTTGCTTTTATTTTACGTCACATTTGATAGCATCAAGCTATGCGAAACGAGTGAGTACTTTTGCCATTTTACCGAGACATTTTTAGGCTGACGTGCTGTTATTAACGAGTGCCCACGGTATATAACTTTGTCGTTTGCCATTGGTACGCGAGCAATGTGTTAACAACTAATCTGCACACGTTAGCAAGAGTACTTATCGATGTAATCTGGTGTTTGTATTTCAGCTATTTTACCCTCGATTCTCTTATTCCATGGTTTAGGTGGACTCAAACTGCTTTCATTGGAAGGGGTAAAAGAGGTCTGGGCTTTGTCAGCTCTCATAAAACACCAGTGTGAACGTGACCAACAGAAACAACGTATGTAACCTATACCAATGAGCGGGTTATAATGATACTACAGTCATGTCTAAATGAATGCGTCATCAGAGCATTGTACTGGCCAGGAAAAATGCACCCAAAAGATTAACTTTTTTGCGAACTTAAGGGTCGTGAGACTATAATTTACGGACGAACGGTGAAACTCTATTTTATGGACGACCTTTGAACGTACGTTTAAGTGACCTTGAGAACATTAGCCAATCAGAAGAGAGTTGGTATAGAGTAAAAATATATTATGAAAAACTGATGAATTACAATGGATATTCTTCTTTCACATGATTTAGGAACTTGTTAAGGTTTGATAAAGGTTCAGAAGTTCTGAAATCATAATGCATGCGGTATAGGAACTCGTCCATATGGCTCCATATTAATCGTCCTCTGGAACCGTGGTAGGGTCTTAAAAATACTTCAGCCTAGACCACATGCCTTCAATATTGTTTGTATGAACCCCCGTCATTGGATCGACAAAATGACGTATATTCACTGAAGTGTTACTTACCAAATCTTCCTTGATAAAACGTCCTTTGTTGTATTTTCGCTTTCTAATTACTGTCTCATCTATTTCTACTATCTTTCCAACTCCCCCAAATGATTCATATACTTGTGATCGCGCAAAGAAAGTGCCAGTTCGAGCAGATTTTTTTCTCCAACATATAGTACAACGAAATACAATATCATCACGGTAGTCTGCACATCGTGTTGCAGTCATTTGATTGCCGCAGTTACAGACACAGGAACTTCTTAATAGTCCCATCTGTTATAGTCGCTCAACAATCACCTCTTCTCTGAAATCTGCTGTAAAACGATCGAATGTGAGCATCTAGAATCGAACTTAGCGCCGTGACCTTGAACTTCCTCAAACGCCTCTGATTGCCTCGTCCATAAATTAGAGTCCTACCCATAAATTTTGACTAATCTATAGCCCTTATTTAGTCCTAGTTAGTAGGTGAACATGTTCAAGGTCACTTAGTGTTCGCTCAAAGGTCACTCATAAGTTATACACTCATCTCAGATATTCGTTCCCATCACTAACTGGCAGACTGAGAATGGATGTACCCCAACACCCAGAACTGCTTATCGTTTGATGTGCTGGACTAAAGTGCATTTGTTTTAGTCATCAATGATTTGTTAACGAGAATGTTTAGACACATGAAAAAAGAGGGGAAGTGACTAAGTACTGAAGTCAGAAAGAAGTAATTATCATGCCCCACTTAGTTCTAAATCTCCGGTCCATTTCGATGTTAAATTGCAGTTTTGTTATGTCGAATCCCTAAACTACAACGACAAGCTCAACAGCACAACACAGGTAGAAAAGTCTCATAATATTGAAATCTGTGAAAAATATGACTTCGGTGATCAAGGAACGTTTGGCTGGACTATCTTATCGCTCTAGGCATTCTGACGAAATATACGAGGAAATAGCTGTCTTCTACGTTCGCCTTTACTTCCGTTAGAAAGCAAACGTACAGGCAGTCGACTACTGTTTAAAAAAATAATCAACTAATGATACAATGAGAAATGCGTTGATCGAGGCGTTTGAGCTATAAACTACGCAGGAAAAACAAAATCTATTGAGGCCCGAACTTTGAGAACGCTTACAACAAATACATCATTACTGTGACCAGACAAAAACACAGAGATAAATTTTTCTGAAAAACACAAGTTTTTTTAGACTACTCATGACAAGTATTTTTAATAAGTTATAACGAACTTTAATGAGCAAATAAAAGCAGTCCATTAACACACCACGTGACCTTCAATTTGAGTGAAGTTCGTTTTTTCAATGTCATATATTTTTGTGATGGGCTGATACTAACTAAATAAACACCCGCTTTTTCATATCAGTTCCTGTTAAATTGGTGATTAGTTGAAATTTGGTATTTTTTATTCGGTGCATGTTGTTCCAGAAGGATGAAACTGCTGAAGATAGTCATTTTTGGGTTACAAGGCAGTTGAAAATCTGATTGTAATGTGACGATTATGAAATTAAAAGTGAAAAGAATTTCCGAAGTAGTGGAGTTTTAGGATGTAAGTATAGGTAAGTTATTTAAATAGCCAAACAAATAAACATGTAGAATAGATGACAATGAGTAAGGAACTTAGTGACTTTCACAGACGCATCATAACCCCTACTCAGATTCATATTAAATTTTGGACAGAATGATTATTCCTCTGTAGTAAATTGCCCTGTGACGACTTTGTTGTACATTGGTCTTGTCCCTCACTATCCCATAACATATTTTTATGCATGATTGCATAAATTAATACCTATCCTTCTTAATTACCGGTACATTATAAATAGTGTAATTGAGAAGTTAAGTCGCAACTCTTGCCCACGGTTCGAAGCGGACATCAACTTCTAACCAGAACGTACATTAGTAATAGTAAAATTGAATGGACACAAATGAACTGAAATAACATTAATACTGAAATAACACAGGAACTGAATTTATGTGGATACTGTAGATCCAAATCATCAGCGATTCTATCGCAATGTACATTACACTAGCAATAGAGTAACCGACAATTGTACTATAGTGAAGCAAATCCAGGAACACCCTAAGCTGGTCTGATCTGCATTGCATTGGAATGAGTCCAAACTGTTTCAAAACATAAATTAGTCTGTCTTTCAAATGTTTGCGCTCACCCACGAATACCCTGACTCGACGAAAGGTGGTGAGAGACTGCTCTTCCTCTCGAGATGCTTTCACATGCATTCAAAGTCACTCCTAAAAAAGTCTTACATGTCGCTTTCGCGCGACAAGGGTGGTGTTTACGAGACTGAGAGGACGGAAAGTGAATGCATGATAAGTCTGTATTCGGCTTCTAAGCTATTCTCGTAACCCCCAAGCTAGAAATACGCAGCGACTTGAACACGAGAGAAAAGGCCCAAAGTATGTGAGAAGCACTTTACTTCGAAGGTTCGTTTTAGAACAGAAAATATATGGTTTTTATAGCATTTTAGATGTCCTTGCGTCTCCCGAAAATTCTAGAATGCTACTAAACGTACCAGTAGTATGTAGTGACCTATTTTTTATCAACAGAATGCGATTGGTTTAGTGGAAACAATCATTATTATAACCAATTGTACTAGTGATTGTTTTACTGCGCTCGTTTGTTTAATTGTACTAAAGACAGCCATTCGTTGACCGTGACCTTGTACACTCGTACTTTCCCTTTGGCACTATCTCGGTATACTTTCGGCATCACTAGATCGCCAACGAATAAAAGTTGTTAAGAGCCCTCTTGGCCTTCTGATTTGTTTGGTACGCGCTCTTCTTGTAGTGGTGTTCGTAGTCAACCGTGACTTGACGTCACACTACAAGCATAAGTGATCATCCGATGAGAAACTCAACATGTGACTTTTCACTTTCTTGATGTTTATCGCTGAACTTCTTGTGAACGCTGATTTAATAAAGTTCTTCTTAGTATTTCCCGATCCTTTTCTAGTCCTTTGCGAGAAGTTTTCTGGATCACCACAACAATACACGGAGCTCTAACTGGATTGTTGGATATGGAGGATCCACCTACTGGAGTTGGAAAACCCTGATTCCAAACTCATGGTGCACATGAGCTTGTACTAGCATTGGACTCTATCCACGAAACACTTGGGAAAATGGATGTTCAACATTTGACGCGGATAAAAGCTCAACGATGAAGAAGGCGGGTACAATTAATGGAATGAATGCGGATTAACTGGATTGCTTGGCTCAGCCTCTCATGTGTGGTCGTTCTGTACGACTTGCTTTTACTCATATTAAATTTATTGTTCTATCTCCAGTCTGAATGTGTTCTCCATCATATATTGGTAATTGGTCTGATACGATGAGTTTGGTGCATGTGTATTTGGTGTCCCACCGGCTCGATTTTTATTTGTTTAAGTAAATAATATTGATACAGCATATCATCTATAATGATATTGTATGAGTTTTATTGACTTCATAACTTTAATTTGAAACGAACCAATTTTTGGCTATTGTTCAACTCAATATTCATATTTGGTTTGTATTCAAAGCATGGTCACTAATATGAATAACTGATTCACTGCATAATCAAAAAACTGAGTTGAGAACATGTCTCTCACAGCTAAACTCGTGTTCAATTAATGTAGGATGTCTGTGAAATTCATGAAATTACAACTATTGACCTGTGACAAAAGGTTTTTAATGATGGCTCTGCCGTTTATGACTACTATTATTACCGAAAATTCTGGAAGCTCAAGGAAAATCTGAAATGCAGTTGGCAAAATCTGCAATCAAGCAGCCTAAGAGACGCAGTATTGGATTCCTGACCTAATTACGTAAGCGAATGGATCTGGAATGATAGACGAAGATCAAGAAAAAGCAGAGGCTAGAACAAACTATTTGGGGCAATTTTCACTCAGGAACCTCTTCTAGACAAAAACAGACCCAAATACAAAGTCAAAAACTCTCTGCTCACCGTAGACTTTGATTAAGACGATGTATTTGAAGCTCCTTGCATTTTAGCCACAGAGAAGTAAACAGGACAGGAGATAAATTGCACAATATATTACGGCCACAATAACTGTGATATTGAATATGTCAATCGACCAAAGTGTATTACATATGTACCAGAAGGATGTAATCGTTACTCCCTTACATAAAACAGGACCAAGACAACTTCCATCGAACTATAAACCTGTCAGCTTCACCAGTGCCGTGGAAACCTAGAACTTGTTAAGCGGCGAACAACATGGTTTCAGGAATGGTTTATCTTGCACAATAAACCTCCTTATAGCAATGGAGCAATGGATAAAGGCTCTAGACAATGGAAAGTTAGTGGATGCTGTCTACATAGACGTCAGCAAACAAATTGATAAGGTGCCACCAAATAAACTACTCATGAAGCCGGAAAATATAGGTATCGCCAGACCTCGCCTAAAATGGCTTAAGGATTTCTTAGTAGTTCGTAGACAGAAAGCAATAGTGAATTCCAATTGCCCCACATGAAGACCAGTACTTAGTGAAGTACCTCAAGGTTTTGTCCCAAGTCCTTCGCTTTTTATACTGTATGTAAATGAACTTCCAAATATAATTGAGTCTCCGGCTTTACTTATACGCTAATGTAAAACGATGGCGAGAAATAACAGGAGATGCAGATGCATTCGCACTTCTGGAAGACTTAACTGGTCTAAGGAGTGGCTGATGCCTATTAACGCGGCGAAGTGTGTCAACATGCACTTTGGGGATACAAGGGTGAATATGTACAATATAGAAGTTCCCATACCCGTTGTTTGGTCTCACAAGGACCTTGGAGTGACAGTGAGTCATGATCTTAAAACTATGGCCCATTACCGAGAAGCCGCAAATGAGAAATTTAAAACCCTATGGTTTTTAAGAGGGACATTCGCTAAGTTACATACTATCCTGTTCATTGCAGTATACAAAACATTAATAGTTTTGTATTGAAGATGCCACAGGTATTCGGAGTTTGACAACGCTTTAACCAGTAGCACCTTCTAATACGAAACGCACCCACCAAGTAAAATCAAAAGACAGAAGTGAGGAGATCGAAGATATATTTGATAAGCTATCAATATATCGAGGATCGTTTGCACTAATCTGGCTAGCGATTGCGGCAGATGTTGAGCACGGCGTTCCCACACGTGATCTGGTGCGGATGCTTGACCGAGCGCCTTCAGCTAGATGAGTCCACTGAAACTGTGGTCAGCATCCAATGTCGAAAACTTACAGAGCTATTTGATTTTAGGGAATTATTTACCGCTACAGATCACTCCCCCCTAGTGGGGTAGTGATGACCCTAAGACGTGGCCAGCCAGAAGTTTAAACCCAACGAGTTTTTCGTTGGTAAACACTCTTCTGATAGCTTGCTAGGTTTAGCAGCGTCTGGTCGTCTTTCCTTACTATAATGAACCATGATGTAAAATACAGTAAAAAAAGGTACAATGCGGATTTTCATTTCTCGCAACTTCATCGTTCTTTTCATCGTCTTTTCCAGTCGTCCTGGAAAAGAAAAGAAAAATATGTAAGTGCATGTCGGAATACACTAGCACGCGCGTGAAAACACAAAACAGGCGAAAAAAAGGAAAACAAACTCATGCTCACGTAATAGCGTAAAAAAGGATTTTTATAATAGTTATTTTTTTGTTTTTTCTTTTTTTGAAATAAAAAAAATAATGAAAATATATAAGCATATTAAATTCGGGGTTTTTTTAAAAAAATATATATATAGTACCAGGGAAAATCGAGAGGATATAAAATGTTAACTTGTGTCTTACTTCAGTAATCGTTCAAGTGTTCTGGAAATCTTACTCTTCTTCCAGAACGCGTTGTTTTGAGTATCAACGTGTGTGTCTGCTATCGATTGAGGCATTATAAGCGCAGGAGTTGTGTCGTGCGATTGTATTGAAGGAAAATCGACGCGAATAGGATTTCCTTCTAAATACGCTGCTTTGAAGCGATCGATACTGATGCTTTCGTTGGTTCCGTTCTTATCGATTATATAGTACTTAGATTCGCGTTGAAGAACCTTGAAAGGCCTTCATATGTTGATTCGAGAGGTCGTCGATGCGAGTCTCGACGCACGAAAACGTGTGTACTATGTAGTAAGTCAGGTTGAACGAAAACATCAGTTGATTGTGGTCGAGTGGAAACAGGTTTAACTGAACGCATTGCGTTTGTAAGCCTGTTCGCGTGGGAGGTTAGATCCATGTCCATCGAAGAGAATGAAGGATCCACAAACTCTCTTGGAAGTCGAAGGGTCGTACCATAAACGAGTTGAGATGCAGTGTATGCAATGTCAGATTTCACTGCATTGCGTATGCCTAGTAAGACGAGTGGAAGAGCTTCAGTCCACTGAGAAATGTTTGAGGCTGATAGTGACGCTTTTAGTTGTCGGTGAAAACGTTCTACTAACCCGTTTGCTTGTGAGTGGTAGGTCGTCGTTTGGAAGCAAGTGATTCCTAGTTTTGCGGTCAGACAACGGAAAAGTTCAGATTCAAACTGACGTCCACAATCTGTAGCGATGGTTGTTGGGCAGCCGAAGTTTGCTACCCATTGTTCGAAGAAGGCGCGGACCACTGTTTCAGCAGTAGTGTCTTTGATGGGTACTGATTCTGGCCATCTAGTAAAACGGTCTACACATGTTGAAAGATAAGAATATCCATTTGACTCACGTGGTGAGTACTTGTCCGAAGAAGAGTTTAAGGAGAAAGTAAGTGGTTTATGGTCGGTAAAAATGGTAAATTCACGGCCTTCGATATAGTGTTGAAAATGCCGAACAGCACAATACATAGCTAGGAGTTCCCTACCGAATGTGCTGTACCTCGCTTCAGTGTCTAGCAACCGTCTAGAGAAAAATGCCAAAGGTTGCCAGGAGTTGTTAACCAATTGTTGTAAGACTGCTCCGATTGCTGAGTCGGATGCGTCTACTGAGATGCTAATGGGCGCTTTAGGGTCCTGATGAGCAAGCATTGCTGCTCGGGCGATATGTTTCTTAACCGTGGAGATTGCTTTTCGGGTAGTGTCATCTACATTGATGGATTTCGCATTTCCACGAAGTTGGTAGGTAAGGGGTTTTATAAGTAACGCGCATTTCGGTATGAATCGTCTATAAAGACTTACCAGACCCTTAAACGTGCGCAATTGCTTGATGGTGGTCGGTTCTGGATAATCCAGAATGGCCGCCACTTTTGTTCTAAGGGGTCGAATGCCATGCGCATCTATAGTGTGTCCTAAGAAGTCTAAGGATTCGGTTCCGACTTGGCATTTCTGAATGTTTACGGTTATGCCATGTTTTTGTAGTCGGTCGAAAACAAGGTCGAGATGCTGGAGATGTGATTCTCTGTCCGGACTTGCTATTTGACGGTCATCAACGTATGCATGTACGAAGTTGAGACCTCGAAAAACGTCATCTATGAACCTTTGGAAATTCTGTGCCGCGTTTCTCAGACCGAAAGGCATTCGCAAAAATTCATAGAGTCCGAAGGGCGTTATAATAGCGGTTTTTGGAATGTCTTCAGTGGCCATAGGAATTTGGTTATAAGCTTTTACCAAGTCAATTTTTGAAAAGACAGTTGCACCTTTCAAGGTAGCTGTCAAATTGTGAATGTGGGGCAACGGGTAACGATCGGGAATGGATTTTGCATTCAATCTCCGATAGTCACCAGTTGGACGCCAATCGTTGCTGTCCTTTTTAGGGACCATGTACAACGGAGATGCCCATGGGCTATTTGACGGTCGTATGATTCCTAAGTTTACCATATGGTCGAATTCGTTTTTCGCCAACCTTAACTCTTCGGATGCCAGTCGGCGTGCTTTCGAGAAGACAGGTGGTCCTGTAGTCGTGATGTGATGTGTAACATTGCTGGTTACACACGGCAATTTCGGTTGCGATTGGTAAATGCCAGAATATTTATCGAGCAGTGGTTGGTAGAAGGGGTCTATAGTGTGCTTAATAGTGACTGGGGATAACCTGCAACCAGAAAAAGAAGTCAGGCAAACAGATAAATTAATGTTTCCGTCTACTAACCTCCGTTTGCGCGTATCGATAATTAAGTCGTTGTGTTGTAGAAGGTCCATACCAATGATTGGCATAGAAACATCTGCAACAACAAAAATCCAGTAAATGGGTTTGCGTAAACCCACGTTAAGATAAACATACCTTTGGCCATACGTAGCGATAGGCTTTCCGTTTGCCGCCTGTAGATTTAAAACGGGCTCGTGTAGCCTGTCGTCGGAATTCGCTGGGGGAACGCTAACCTCTGCGCCAGTATCTACGAGGTAGCAAACTCTCGTTATCACATCAGTGACATATAAAAGACGGCTATGTTCGCCGGCTACGGTCGCCGTTAACGCGTGCCGGCTTGGAAGTTTCCCGAAACGTTCTTCGCGTCGATGGATTTCGCGTTGCGAAAATTGCAGGGTTTTCTGCAATTTCTGGCGAACTTTCCGTACTGGTTATGGTACCAGCACCAATCAGGATTTTCCGTCTCTCGAGTTCTAGATACAGATCGCCTACGTGATGTGCTTCTCCGCGGAGTAAGTGATCATTTACGGTCGTTACAGAGTTTGAGATAACGCGTAAGTGTATGATATAACTGTGTTATGTCATTCTGGGTCGTTTGAGGCTTTTCTTTGACTGAAAAAACCTCGGCGTTAGAAGACCCAGTGATCTCGAGAATGCGATCGGCAGATGCAGCTAGCTCGTCTACGGCGTTGTTTTGGAACGAGACCAAAACAGCTTGCACCTGTTGAGGAAGTTTGGATAAAAAGAGTTGTTTGAATAGGATGTCATCGAAGGTTCTTTGGCCAATGACTTCTCGCATTCTTTGCAACATGTCTGTGGCAGAACCGTGTTGCAGGTCGATGTTGTTAAGGAGTTGGTCTAACCTTTGTCGATCGGTTAGATCTCCGCGTTTAAGGATGGCATGTTTCAGGGTTTGATATGGATCAGAAACATCACTAGTAAACATACTAGGTGTTACGTACCTGTTAAATTCGCGCGGTAGTGCCTTAAATACTGCGAGGAATTGTGCACGCGCATCGTTCACATCGTGCTCGAAGAAGTCGGCTTCTGCGTAACAAAACCAGGCTTCGATGTTGTCTGGCCAGAAAGGCATAAGTTGGAAAGAGGGTGGGGACACAGTCTTTAACTTAAATACTTTAGGGGTATGTTCAGTCATAGTAATATATCAAGTACGAAAAGTGAACGAGTGGCAAATATATATATAAACCCAAAAACACGGGAAAAAATATCACAATGTTAAAAAAATTAAAATAAGACAATGATATATAAAAACACAAAAAGGAACAGACTCACAGTTTACAATATGGTGTACCAGATCACGTCGGGCTCACCAATGATGATGCCACAGGTATTCGGAGTTTGACAACGCTTTAACCAGTAACACCTTCTAATACGAAACGCACCCACCAAGTAAAATCAAAAGACAGAAGTGAGGAGATCGAAGATATATTTGATAAGCTATCAATATATCGAGGATCGTTTGCACTAATCTGGCTAGCGATTGCGGCAGATGTTGAGCACGGCGTTCCCACACGTGATCTGGTGCGGATGCTTGACCGAGCGCCTTCAGCTAGATGAGTCCACTGAAACTGTGGTCAGCATCCAACGTCGAAAACTTACAGAGCTATTTGATTTTAGGGAATTACTTACCGCTACAGTATACAGCCACTTGCATTTTCCCATCCTCTTCGCTCTCCCCTCTTCGTCATGAGTGCATAAAATATAAATGCTCAAGATACGCTTATTTAATCTCGTTATTTTCTAATGCGGATTATGTCGACAAATATATGCGGAGGTAGATGGGACGTTTATTTCTATAACAAGCAACATGAAATCCAACTGAAATAACAGAGTTTCTAGACAGTCAATTAGCTTCGTCACATACACTAGTAGACATGATTGTTCTGTAGCTATGTCGCTGCATCAATAATCTAGAACAAAGAAATAATTTAATTGTGTATATTCGTCTCGAGGATATTAGATATCGTACGAAGACAATTTAAATCTTCCGCCCCACTCAGGTTTGAGTTCGTCAAATGTACTTTTCTGACTCTGTTTGTGTTGGTAAGGCTTTCCAGGTTTATATGTAACATAAAAAATCCTAATTCTGTCAAACAAGTTATCTCTGTCTTTTGGGTGGTTGTTGTCATCCTAACAGTGTAATTTTGGTTGTGACGTCCGAATCCCATCTTCTGACTCGGTCTGATCTCTTCACTTACTTCAGTTTAAGCATGTGAAAAGTGTCATTAGCTGTCAAACATATTTTTCGGCCAGTGTCTAAATACCTGAAGAGTGAGTTGGCCTGAATTCTGGATGAGACTATAATTTATGAACGACACTTAGGCGACGCTAAAATGACATTGAAAATGTCCACCTATTTGCTTGTGGTAAATGAGGTTTACAAACCAGTGTGAGGTAATGAGGTTAGGATTTGTGTTTAGATGTTAGTGTCTTCACGAACTGACATCAGCTACGACGCCAAAATGTATTTAGCCATATGAATGAATGAATTTCGTTCCTGAATCTAAGACTGGTCATCTTAAATGTGTTTAGTTCGTCCGTACATTATGGTACCAATCGTAACACAGTGTGACAGTTTGTGGTTGTAAACACGATGTAGACCTACAACCAATGACTTCACGAGGTAGTTCCACTTTTCGGTTTGGCCACTCATTTGTTCATCAAACTATTTTAAGGCAACCAGCTCCTCCCGTATCTGGGATATGGTAATATTTGCCTTACTAATCAGTTAACGAGTGCTTAGTCTCATCAACTTCTTATTTCTACTCTTTACAAGAAAATATAAATTAATTACTGATTGCTGAGAATCTAAAACTGGAAAATTTATTGCAATCTTCGCACAGTCCGAATATAGGAAATCCGAATATTCGGGCTGGTTTCCATATTAGCTATACTCTGTACTGGTAGGGTCATATTCATCCATACAGTGATAATATTTCTTAGTAAGATACTTCATTCATGAGCTTAAAATTTCGTCCGTTGTAAGTATCTATCACTACATATTTAAAGGAATTTCACAATAATCCGATTACTATCAAATCCAAAGTAAGATGATGTGATAATTTATCACTACAACGATTTTCAAATTTATAGCATTTCAAAATAAAAATGTTTAACTTTGACTTTTCTTTTTTTTAGTCCCAAATGCTGTTTAGTGGGCGAGTGGAAGTGAATATTGTTATTCTCTATACACAAAGCCATTAAACTAAACGACAGAAAAATCACATACTAGAAAATTTGTTCCATATGTTCCTACTTTGAAGCAATTTCCTTCAGAATAGTTATTATATAACTATGGAGTGTTTCTACCACTGTTTTATTTGGATGCCATTTTTTATTTTGCTTCAAGGGTTTTGTGAGGCTTATAAACAACAAAAATTACTTGTAATATCCTTAGATGGTTTCCGTCATGATTATCTAGATCGTGCTAAGCTTCGTAATGTCAACATTTCCTCTTTCGAACGGATTTGGAAGACCGGAATACGTGTTATGAAAGTACATAATGAGTTTATTACTCGAACAGGACCAAATCACTTATCACTGGTAACTGGAATGCATGAAGAGAGTCATGGCATTGTCGATAACGTGTTTTATGATCCTGAGCTTAATGATACTTTTGACTTGAGTAATACGAAGCATTTATCACAATTAAAGTGGTTTGATGTTGGGTCAGAACCAATTTGGGTTACAAATCAACGTCATGGTCATAAAAGTGCTGTTACATTCTGGCCAGGGAGTAATACACCATTCAAAGGACAGTTACCCAGTTTTTATTATTCACAATATAACCATCAACTTCCTTTAGTTGATCGAATTAATCAAACTATTAAGTGGTTAAATTTAGATGAAGTGACACTTGGTCTAATATATTTTCATGAACCTGACTCACAGGGTCATTTGACTGGACCTGATTCTATTGAAACTTTTAATGTTATCGAGAAGTTAAATGATGATATTGGGTACTTACTGTCTTTAATTGATACTAGGCCATCTCTAAAGTCATCGCTTAACATTATTTTAACAAGTGATCATGGGATGTCTGGAGTGGATACTAAGAGAATAATTATTCTTCATGATTATATCAACGAGAGCATGTATTATAGTCCGGGGTCAGAGGATCGTGTTTTTTGGTCATTATGGCCAAAAGATGGTAATTTGTCCGTTTACATAAACTTTTCTAAATGTTAAAAGGGAGCTCATCTATTAATCTCTACAAAAGGCTGATCGGAAAACATCCAAAGATGAATGTTTTTCTAAAGGATAATATACCTATTCATTTACACTATTCGAATAATCGCCGAATCAGCCCAGTGGTAGTGTATTCGGAGCCTGGATGGACAATCGTTAGATCACAAAAATCAGTTGCAAAATTTAGTAAGTATAGTATTTTAAGTATTGATATGCGAGTTGTGTTACTTGTTTTGACCGCATAAACGGCTTCATTTGATTTAATTATTATAAAATTTTCCAAATTTCTGGTATAATCTATTCTTATTCAACTTTTAAAAATCAAATTAGTTTTGTTAGCCAAAATCAGAAGTATAAATGAAGAAAGATAAGTACTCAAATGATTCCTTCAGATTTTCATCTAAAATTGATAATATTAAACTCCTGCTCACTGTATTGCAAAATCTGTTATCTTATGACCATTCGTGTTTTTCGAACAATAAAAGTAAATCATACAACTACTATCCATTGTTTTGAAGATTTCAAGCCAACTAACGTTTATGCATAAACCCAGCTTTCACGGATGCCTGGACTTGAGTATGCTCAAAAAACAGTTATAGAGCTTGTCTTATCAATCAGACAGTAATGTAGAACCCGAAGTAAATGTGCATCGTTCCAAGTTCACACGCAGTATGAACACAGTGAGATGAAATTATCAAAATGCATACCAGAGTATCAATGGTAGCAAAAATATTGGGTTTAAAGGAAGTAATTTAGTGTAAAGAAGATATTCGTTGAACAAAGGGTATTAAGTATTGAAACATACGTTTTGAGTAAACAAACAATGAATGCATGTACTTCCTTTAGACCAATTCCGAGTTATTTTACCCAAGGTTTAGAACTTCGAATTGATCATTTCATTCAATTAAATTTTTAATATATCTAGGTTTTGACATCGCATCTGTTCACATATTTATATTGGTAAATAAAGTCACTTCTGTCTTATTAGTTTAAGCACTATTTTGAAAAATGGGTCAAAACTTCGAACTGTGCATCATCTGTTGAGTCTTGGTCAGTCATTTGGCGTCAACAACCTCCATGAGAGGTATGGATCATATGTTATACTCTCTGTGTCATATTTTCGATGAGATAGAATTAGGTCCAACAGTTAGAACTTAATCCATTGGGTAGTGAACGACCCAAAAAACTAATACTGGCCAATCGTTTATAATATATAGTCGTGTTATTTTCCTGTTAATTTTTATATGAATATACTATTCGATCGTAAGAAAAACTCGTTCTTTTGGTCCTGTGAAAATTCATTACTGTATTACATTGTATTGTATCATCAATCGATCTGTATTCTTTTTATTCTTCTTAGCCATTGGAAATTTCAACAAATCATAAAACTTCACTTTATGATAACTTAATTTACTCTCGACAAATACGTTGATAGTAGGTCGTCAAATGTAATTGATCCTTCTAACATTCAAATATTTATTATGTGATTAATATGGTCATTCATTTGGTTTTGACACCACGCTATTCACCTTAATACAATTACTCATTAAATTTTAATCTCCTGATCAATTTTATCTAGTTATTTATTGGATTCATTCAGTAATGCTCCTTGCTTACTGTATTTTAGCTAAACGTGGAGATCATGGTTATGATCCGGACCATGATGAAATGTCTCCATTCTTTCTAGCTACGGGACCAGGTTTCAGAAGCACGATTGTTGGTGGTGGTCAAATAATTAGTTCTATTCATCTGATTGATATTTATCCACTGATGTGTGCCTTACTCAATTTAAATAAACCAGCTCCAAACAATGGTAGTTTATCACGTGTGATGTCACTCCTTCGTCATGGTAGTGGTGTTAATGTCTACTTTTCAAGTTTTCTGGATATGTTCACTGGTTAGTTTATTCAATAGTTTTCCCGAAGTTATTTGTCACTTACCGTGCACATACTATGTTGACAGATTTTTATCTACTGCCTTCTAATGGTTACATTTTTCCGCGTTAAGGATGCTAAATCCCCAGAAATCACCTGATAAACGTCCTATTTTCGTAATTTTATTTTGGGGATTTGAATTTCTCGTTTTCGCGCTCAAAGTACCCATTTGGAAGGACGGTAAATGTCATTGGCTCGTTGCTTAATTTAATACACTATCATATGATGAATATATGTACTTGGTTTTCCGTGCTTCTGGCTGCTTATGGAATATACATTCCCCTCATCTAAACTAGGTCTTCTCCCTGGAGTTGCACGTCTGGGACGCATCGGAGTAATTTAGGTTATCTTGTCTTTGTGTCTCTGATCCTTCGTTCCGTTCACCGATTCTATGTGATTTCGTAATCTCTTCACAAAAATATTCCCTAATCTCCACGAGTTATTTAAATTCAAGTATGTGTGGTTCACTACTAAATCCTCAGTATAACTCGAGTCTTCACCATCACGTTCTCTGTCACGAAACATTTTGCCTTTTTTGATTACACACAATGTCTCCGGAATTATTCGTTACTATTTTCATTTTATTAGGGTGTATGTCATTTGTTATGAAGGATAAGGATAGATCAGTACAGTAGGATATTAATATCAGTTACGGATATTAGCTGACTAATACACCCAGACAAACAACAGCTCATAACATAATAATCTTAAAATCTAGTCAATTGTTTCTCTTTAAGATTATTAGGAGCTGATACATAAAGGAATACGAATTATTTATTGTGATTTAAGATATATGGTTGGAAGATATTTAAATGAAATTAGGATTTTGAATTCCATATAACCTGGTGTTATGCTTTGAAAGCCATCAAAATGTCCCATCTTGAAGTTGGTTATCGACTTCCTATTTTACTCTCTGTCAGGGTATTTAATACGAAATTCAGGTAACATATCTTAAGTAATAATAGATTCTGAGAATTATTGCATAATATACGTGGTTTTACAGGCATGACCAAGCTGATACAAAACATTACTAAGTAACAATAGCAATAACTAAGTCTATTCTACCTGGAAGATGGCTTCTAATCATTTTGAACAAATCTGATTTTTTTTAAAAGCAAAACTTTCAATGTAATAGAATGGATACGTGTATCCGCGAAACGATTTTACAGTACAACATCAATGATTGTTTACACTCCATAGCATAACAAAATCAATTTTGTAGGCATAAAGACTAAACAACACAATGACCAATAAGCTAGTTATTCTCAGGAGTTCCAGCCCGTCTAACTAGAGTGAAGCCAAGGTTCAGAAGAGGGAAATGTATTCACAAGCAGCAGGAAGCACAAACAACCAAGCACAACTCAAGCGTATATATATAACATAAAAATGTCTTTGGGAAACTTTACAAAGTAGCGTACTAAAAAGAAACAATGAACCGATGATATTTAAGGTCCTCCCAAGTGGAAACAACGACATAAAGGTGAAAACGGGCGCTTTTGGCGCGTAAACATGAAACTCAAAATAAAGTTACAAAAATAAGACATTTACCGAGTGAGTTCTGGGGACCTAACATCCTCAACATTAATACAGTAAATGTCGGCTCATTATCATAAATATTAGACAAGTATAATTTTATTAACAATATACACAGTACAGTTCTCTTGCATTATAACTTAATCCGAATACTATATTAAGAGTTACAAATTACTCTAATTCAACTTGATAAAAATTAGCCACCACATAGTAATTTGTCCACCCAACTAGGAATCACACTATCAGTTCTGTTCATTAATATTACATATTTCCTCTTAAGAGGATTGAGTGAAGTGGATTTCAAACCTTCTATTCAATAAACCGAATGTCAAATATATTACCCATTATATAAGATATCTATCCACCTGTGTTACTAATGATATCTTCATCAATTTACTGTTTGCACAGTATAATATAAGTGTAGTGGATGGTATTTATGCCGACAGATATAAGTAGTATGCATCACCAGTTGCGAGTAGAATATCTACCAACAGAAGGTTGAATTGAGAAAAACAGGAAGTAAAACAGAGAATAATTGAAATAACAACTGAAGGAGAATGTGCGAATAATATAATCAATGTATAGTTTCCATATTTTGACAAGACGTTGTGTGTAATTTTAAATAAGAAGAAAAAACAATAAATTGGTTCTCCCTACCCGAGTTCTCGTTTACTGCATAAGTATCGTATCATAATTATTTGTTCGAGTATATTTACCTGTTTACTCATTTTAACTGGTACTGTTTTAACCTAACTTAATTGCTCACTTGCTCATTCATACACTACCAATGTTACATCGTTTTTATTTGACTGAGTCTATGATTTCATATATATATATATATATATATATATATATATATATATATATATATATATATACAGAGAGATTACTTTTGATGACAGGATATGCTTTTTATCTCATCTTATTGTTTGTGTTCTTCTCTTTTCAAAAACTGTTCTAACTTGATCAATCAAAATATCGAAATAATAGTCGGAGTTGTTTTATTATGTTGTACAACCGTATCATTTGTATACATAATATGCACATGTATTTCATCTAAACATTATCTTTATCTATTTCCTGATAATAATAATGATAAGTTAAAATATTCTATTCATCAACCAAATTCATTTTTACTTCAACGACGTTTACGTAATAAATCTCAACATAATGAACAAAAACAACAATTTAATATTGAATTAAATAAAATGAACTCTATAAAAAAGACAATAAAAACAAAAAGTAAATTCTATAAAATGTATTTAAAAGATGAATCACCTAAACAAACAACAGATAGACAACGATTACTTGATTATAATATTCGGGATAGTAATGTCCCCATTAGTTACGGTGTCGGTGGTTATGATGATAATGATGAAGAATATGAAGAATATAATCGATTTTCTATTCAACATATAGATGATGAAACTTTCTTAAATTTACTTCGTCAACCAAATAGTAAATATCCTTAGGAAAGTTAGAATTTTTTTCTTTTAGTGATCTATTAGTGGTTCATTCTTTCATTCATTTATTCTGCTTCTATATTTTGTGATATTGAAATTTATAATACACCATGGTGATTGTGTGCATTATTATTTGAAATTTACATAGATGGCTGTGTATCATGTTATTATTGTATTTATACATAGACAAGTGCATACATTTTTGTGTTTTCTTGTTCTTATTATTATATTTTCAAATAACTGTATCTACTTTTGATTACTTCGTTTATGTGTATGTATGTACACATACTTGTATGAACATGCATCATTTAAGGAATCAGTTCGATTATTACTTTTTGTTTATGTGGATATTTGTGATATTTTGCCAAGTTTTCTTTGGTTATTTTTGTTTATGAATTTTTACTAAATATTATTTAGTTTTTATCAAAAGGGGTTTTGTGGAGATTTTTAGTAATTTCAATAGTTAGAATCATGAGTCAATTGAAGCTAGACAACCATGGAAAACCTGGAAGCACTGGACGGCCGTTTCGTTCTGGTTGAAATTAGACATTAACATCGTCGGATACCGACCGGCTCAGTGGTCTAATAGTTAAACGCCTGGCACGGGGGGCGGGATTTTCTATGGGATCGTGGACGCGCACTGCTGAGGAGTTCCATACTAGGACGAAACGGCCGTCCAGTGCTTCCAGGTTTTCCATGATGGCCTAGCTTCAATTGACTCATGATTTCAACTATTGATATTACTTAGTTACTAAATTTTTTAATGTTTCATTTTTATTAGATTTCATGAGTGTCATATATTGTGCCGTACTGTGTCCGAAATCTGATACTAACACGGTGTGCTAAGTGTTAACCCCCCTAACTGACTACTTGAGCGAGAAAGTGTATTGTGCAAACCGAATGAAATGAACAAATGCTCATATATATATACCACTCTGTCCTTAGGAAATTAACCCAATGAAATCCACTTGACCTTTAGGCGACTTGTGATTACCATTAGGCTACTTCTGATTGGCTCTGCATATAATCTATCACTAACCCTACTGGATTAGCGAGTGGAAAGTATGAATTTAGAGGGGAATGTGAATAATAAATTCAGCTCGGTGGTATTGTAACCGATTTGATGCCATATCACTTTTACCATCGTGAATCCAATTAAAGAGGAAGAATGTATTTGTATTTTATAACTCGGCGCCCAAATACTGAGAAACTATTCGATCAAATTTAGACGAAAGCTCTGATCTTTAATCCATTATGAATATCTGCTCATCTTGAAGTGTTTCATTCTAGCCATTAATGGTATTATGAGCAGATTTAGTCCTGTAATGAGTCTTTCTTAATTATTATGGAGCTTGGCATAAATATGCATTAGCTTAAGTCATCACACCATGTCAGCATGGGGGGATGAAATCAACAAAATCGGTATCGAAGAAGCAATAATGGTGAGAAATTTGATGCAATTTGTTCCCTTTGTGAATTGAAATAAAGCCAGAATAAATATGAATGCAGAATAATGTGAATTCACCATATTTCGTGGTTTCTCATCAGTTGCTCACAACCAAATATGTATTAAAATGTTACATTTAGGTAAGATATAGTGTGAAAAAATTGACATAGGTGAATGAGAAAAATTGAAATGAGAAAAGTTGGCCGTTGAGAATATGCTTCTAGAAGATGGAATGAAAAAGCATATAGGAAGAATTCAATAAATAAAGTTCGGTATTAAAATAAATGGACCTGGATCGTTATGATTACTCCTGACCCATGTCTTTAATCGATGATAGCCGTTATCATGTGGGTCTCCATTAGGCATCTTACACCCACCAATACGGCTTAGAATTAAAATCCATGATTTCATGTACTGATGACATGTCTTGATTTGACAGCTTCCTTCCACACCAGACAACAAACGCACTTCGAGGTAGACGGTGGATTTATTATTAATCCTTTTGTGGTGTTTGAATAAACTAATGACTCCTTTGTACTTGTTGAATGTTTGATTTCGAATTCTAAATACAGTACATTCGTTAGTGCTTGTGTGGTACTTCTTAATTCAATTGCGTTATCCCTGGGATTCTTAGTTCATACTATAATTCAATTACTTCTAATTATCATACCTTTACACCATAAAAATGTTCAGAGCTTTCAATATGTTGGTGAAGGGTGTGATACTTTTTCACTAAATAATTTTAATAGTTATTTATCTAACACTTTGAATGAGGATCACCTTTAGTTCGGTGATAAAAAGTTATATATATTTAAATGCCCTGGTACGGCCGAGAGTGGAGAGAGTCCGCTCTTCCTCTCGAAATGCTCTCACATGGCCACGCGTATATAGCCTCTGCCAGGGAAGTCCTACTCACTGCCTTCTCGTGGCGGGGGTGTTGTTTACGAAAATGAGAGGACGAAAAGCGAATGTCCGGCGCTTTAACCGGATTCCAAACCAATGGTGCACATGGGCTCCAGTATCCTGAAGGAACAAATAGCGTATGAACCAATCGTTGGTCACCGGCTACCATGGGACTGCATCCCCTTACGATGCTCCACTGCCTTGTGGGTCAGACGTTCAGGTCAAAGGCTCGGGGTGTGGCCCCCTAAGAAAACCACCTGCTTCGGTTTGGGCACCCGGGCAGTATCACAGCCCTCACACAAATTAAATGAGGTTTGTGTGGCGCATATGTATTTGGTCCGTCTTTGTACCAATACTTATGTGTTAAAATAATATATTTAAATGACAACTCAAAGTTCAGTTTTTAAGATTCGGAATGTTTATTGTGTTTTCATGGTGTATAATAAGATTAGATATTGTGATTGGCTGATTAGTTGTCGACCTGCAATTTAGTTAATAGATAGACCTTACATATATGTGCAATGTATGAAAACCATTCAACCGTTCTTATTAATCACTTAATAATCAAATATTTTTAGGTCATTCATACCGTATTTTCATTTTCTCTCCATCAGCCAAGTCTGAATTGAGAAGACAATTATTTTCAGCTATATTATTTCATACCTAAGGTATTCAAGATATAAGATCAATCTAGAATATATTAAACAGATTATACTCGTGGCTCTGATAAGTAGTCGGCTTATTACTGGTGATAAAATTTCTCCAGAATAACAATCAGTTCAGGGACATTTCGCGTAGATATTGGTGAGATCAACCTCGAAGGAACACAATGATTATACTGTGAAAACCAGCCTGATGTTGGAATATATGTTCCAGATAACTTTATCACTGTCGTTTTTTGGCTCATTAATCTTGATCAGCTCATATTCTTATCCCTAAACAGTTGCCTTCAGAATATATATATATATTGTGAAAACCATACATTCAAAACTCCATTTGCAAATCCTCCGTCAAATGTCTCAAACTTCATCGTTCCTTCATTACCAATTACCCTTTGTTCCCGATTTCTTCAACTCGATCTTCCCAACCTTCTGCTGCTAGGCATTCCACTTCTGTTCGTTGTTATAATTTACTTATCTCAACACTATATATATAATGTGACATAAAACTAACTATACTGGTAATAAAACTAAATGATTGATTATGACTTTGAACAGTTTTATAATCGATAAGATTTTCTCAATTTGTTTTACGCAACATCTTTTGTCATTGTGTTTAGTTTATTATTATTATTATTATTATTATTATTATTATTATTATTGCTATCAAATCATATATTTAAGCAGACAGTTTAGAGTCTTATCTATGGATTTGTTCATCCAAAAATCAATATAATTGAACAGAATTATTGGAAATATTGATTTTAAAAATTGTAAATAAAAATTCAGTGACAATTGACGATAACACTCACCAATATGGATTTGTGGAAATTATTAAGTTTTTGATTGAGATGATAAACCGATTGATGTTAGATCACCACTGAAAGCACTTGACGGTCGTTTCCTCTTATTGCGTAACTCTTCAGCGGTGTCCACAATCCCGCTTGCGGGATTCGAACCTACGACCCCCGGTCTCACGCGCAAACGCTTAACGTCCAAACCACTTAGTCCGCATCTAACGGTATTGATATCTAAATTCAACCAAACCACAAAATTGTGCCACCATCCACCATTGTCTTCGATGAGTTACTATCTCACAACAGACCTGGTTGAACTCCACTGGTCATGAAGTGATTAAATCTGAAAACGTAGGGCTACTGATGTCGTGAGTTCACACTTCTAAACAGTTCCATACAAGGGATGTTTACATTAATTGTTTTATCTTAATAGAGAAGAACAATATTAACAGAATAAAATAAATTCATCATATTTCAAAGCTTCTCATCAACTGCATAGGATCTTAATGTACAATAGAAGTATTATTATTATCATTATTATAAAAAATGTTATTGAAGTTTAGTTCGAAAAAATATTAAAAAACATGAGGAAACAATGTATTCAACCTAATAGTTAAGACTATTTAGTATTTCATATATTGAAGGTAAGGGAAGTCGGCGAATTGGACCAGTAACTTTGGGAGAAGGATTGGCTCTGTGGGCCAAGTCAGACAGGCCGAGATCTGATAAGATGGAAAGGAAAGTCGAAATTCGATTGATTTACTAATTATGAGTTTTATTCAACATTACTTCCGCTTTAATTCAATGTAATGACTAGTCAATGTAGTATTTGTTTTCTTTTGTCGCATGATATTTTATTCTGTCTAATACACGATATTGTTGTATTCAACTGACATGATTTGTTATAACTAAGTGTAGCGGTGAATAAATCCGCAAAATAAATAGCTCTGTAAGTCTTCGACATTGGATGCCGACCACATTAGTCTCAATGGACTCACCTAGCTGAAGGCGCTCGGTTATGCATCCGCAAGAGATCACGAGTGGAAACACCGTGCTGAACATCCTCTACAATCGCTAGCCAGATTAGTTCAGTCGATCCACGATATGTTAATAGCCCATCAAATATATCTTCGAACCTCCTCGCTTCTTTCTTTTGATTTCACTTGGTGGTTACGATTCATATTAGGTGTTATTGGTTAAAGCGTTGCCAAATCCAAATTCCTGTGGCATCTTCATAAGTATTTTCTACACATGTGATTTCATCCTAATTATTAATCAAAATGTGTACACAATTAATATATAAATGGAAGTATTTTCGACTAAGGTCGTCGTCGTGTTTTGGGGTTAATAAATCATCATTTATACCAGTCTTTATGTTCTTATTTTTGCGTCGTGTTGATTGCAGAGGTCCGTCGTTTCGAGTATAAGTGGTAGGAGTTTCCGACATAGCAATCAGCGACGACCACATATAACAAGTAATCATTAAAAGAGACATGAAAATTCAGCATTCAAGTGACAACTTATAACAGATCAGATACGTGTCGGTCCAGTTGGCAGCTGCTTTCTTTGCTGCCTTGTATGATTCGGTGCGCGTTGTGGTGAGGTCACTGGACTCTGACCT